CTATTGAAGACAATGGGCGGCTTCCCACAGGCTCCTGAGACAGCTGGTGGTCAGGCAGCTGTGTGGGTAGGGGTCATACTGTGTGGCGAAGTGTGGTTAGTTTGGTGGCACTAGATGATCCCTCGAGACCAGAGGGAGGCAGTCCCAGATCAGAGAAGGGTTAGCATTCTGTAGATGGTTTTAAATTTAACGTTTTTGGTCTTGAAAAAACACACAGAAGTCATACAGATCCCAGATAACCAAAGGAAACTAAGGAACACGACAGAACCCTGCCTAACCCCTCCTCCAGGACAGCCCACACCCTCTGTCCGCCAATGTCAGCACAAAGTGGTCGTGACTGGGCCAGGTCTACAGCCTTGGTTCCTTGGTGACCTGAGCATGTTGGGGTTTTGTTTTAATTAGCAGCTTGGTTCTCCTTGGGTTTCTTGTGAATTGCAGGCATTTTCTGATAATCATGTTAGTTTTCATCCCTTTTGGCTGACACTGTCCATCCACTGGATGCTGGCTGGGCCCTGGGTGGCTGGCTCCCCCTGGCTGGCAGGCTCCGGGCTGTGGAGGCTTGTTCTCTGCTTTGGCTGAGTGTGTCCAGATCAGAGAGGATGTGGCCGAGCCTGCTTCATGGTGCAGAGGTCCTGAATGGGATGTCGTTCACCCTGGACTCCCACTTTACCCCCTGGGTTGTCTGTCTGTCTCTTGATCTCCACGCTCCCCTGTCTCACAGTGTCTCTCCCTCTCTTCCTAAACAGCAGTTACCTGTCATCAGGGCCTCCCTTACTGTTCCCTCATAGTAATTAAGGTATTTTCCTAAACAAGCTTTATAATGAGTCTCTAAAATGAGTTGTGGTGACAGCTGGTCAAAGTAATATTTCCCATCTTCTTATTATACAACTAGGGGCCCAGTGCATGAATTCATGCATCTTGAAAGGAACTGTGGGCCGAGAGACTGTGGTAGGCATAGGGGCAGGTCTTGGCCCATCCTCCGCACCCCCTGCCCAGCCCCTCTGGCTGCGGCCCCTGGTCCCCTGTCTGCGGGCAGCCCCACTCCCGCCGCTGCCACTCCCACACGCTGATGGTGCCAGCCCCGCTCACACCTGCTGATGGCACAAAGCGATTGGGGCAGGCGCCAGCAGTGGGTGCGAGCGGCAGCTGCTGCCCCGATCACCCCTCAGTAGCAGGGGGAGGTGGAGAAGCCCTCAGGGGCAATCGGGGCTGGCAGCTGCCACTTGCACCCGCTGACGGGATCTAGTGATTGGAACTGGCACCGGGCACCAGCAGCAGGTGTGAGTGGCGGCTCTGGCGCCAGCTGTGGGTGCGAGTGGGGCCGGCACCAGCAGCAGGTGCGAGTACTGGGTGGGACCGCAGTGTGTGGGAGCAAAGAATTTTCAGTAACCACCAGAGGCTTGCCCCGATGACAGCAACCGGCGCCTCGCCTTGGTCTGGCACTCCCGCTCACCTGCTCCACCATCCCGCCGCATCCAACACCCACCATGTTCTGCACATGCCCCTGGTGGTCATGCATGTCATAGCGACCGGTTGTTCAGTTGTTCTGCTGTTCGGTCTATTTGCATATCAGCCTTTTATTATATAGGATCGTGAATGATACACCATCTCTCATCAGCGTGAGGTCAGCATCTGGGGAAAGACAAGTGTGTAGACAAATAATTACATACAATGAAATTAACCCTACTTTCTGAGGCAAAGCTGCAGTGATTAAACACCCTAACCATCAGGATCATGACAAAAGAATATGCATGCTGGCCACAGCATTTTGGCCCAGGCAAGTGGAAGTAAATTCACCATATACTCCCACCTCCCAGGAGAGAGAACCAAACAGACAGGAACAGCTCCAGTGGCCACCATAATTTAGGTACAGTCTGGCCGTGGGCTCAGAAGGAGGCGTGCATGGAAGAGTGAAAACTTGAGCGTGGCCATGGAGCACAAAATGAAAACTGAGGAAAGCAGGAGAGGGAACTGGTAATCTCACCAGGGTGGACGAAGGCTCTCCCTAATATTTGTTTCCTACTGTGGGTGGGGCTGGGGCCTCTGTTCAGGGTCTCCAGGGTGAAAATCCATGTGTAGGCGAGGCTGTGTCTCCTCTGAGAGTAGGCTAGGGCCTCTCCTAAGCTCACAGGTTGTTGGCGGAATTCCCTTCCTGGCAGCTGCATAACCCATGGAATCCTGCTTCTCTGTGGCCCACAGGAGAGCTTCTGTGACCTTAGGAGGACCCCTGTCTCTCTTCTGAAGGTTTCCTTGACTAGGCCAGGCCTACTTTTGATTAACTAAAGGTCAATTCATTAGGGACTTTAATTTCATCCGGAAAGTCCCTTTGCCTTTGCCATGTAATCCTATATAATAAAAGCTTAATATGCTAAATGTCCAACCATTCAACCAGTTGCTATGATGCACACTGACCACCAGGGGGCAGACGCTCCGACCAGTAGGTTAGCTTGCTGCTGGTTCCAACTGATCGGGGACTGGGCAAGATGGGCCAGACACGCCCTGGAGCCCTCCCCTGGTCCCTCCCTGGCACCAATCATGCACCTGTAGGGTCCCTTGGCCTGGCCTGCGCCCACTCACAATCTGGGACCCCTTAGGTAATGTTGGAGAGCCAGTTTCGGCCCAATCCCCTCAGGCCAGGCTGAGAGACCCCACAGGTGCACAAATTCGTGCACCAGGCCTCTAGTATCATATAATCAGGGGTGCAACCCCCATCACATCACAGGTTCTACCCACACCCAAGGGAAGAAGAGTGAGCCCTAACCACACCTCTATTGTTGGATGTTCAGGTGACTTCTGATTTTTTACACAAATCATGTGCAGAAAACCTGCTGCCCACACATTTTGGGGCACGTTTGTCTGTGTCCTTATGATAAATCACTGGAAGTAGAAATGGCAAGGCTGGAGGGTGAAACATTTTCAAGGCATTTGACAGATAAGTTGCTTTTCAGAAAGTTACCAAGTCACATTTCCAAGCTGCCCTGTGTTACAAAGGCCCGCCTAACCCTGTGCTAGGGCCAGGTGTGATTATTCCTCTCCTCTTTGTTAATTTGATGGTGGGTGAAAAATGTATAAATCTGTTATTGAACCATGAACTGAATCAAAGATTAAAACCTACTCATTTATGCACACCTAGTGAGCCAGCCTGAACCAGAACTGAATCTGTATTTTCTAAAATGATTGAAATGTAACATCAAAATAGCCTCTGAACTGAGACTCTCCCCGTGTTTCAGTCCATTCAAATACCTAACTTCAATCCATTCCAGTACCTCATAAGGGGACCACACTGGAAACCTTGACCAAGCCTCGACCTTGTTAACACCGACTATAATCCAATCAGCAGCCAAAGCCCTACGGGAGCTTTACAGGTGATGATGACAGTCCCCTTTACAGCATCCAGGTTTAACACAAGAAATTCAGAAAACAAGAGGTGGGTTTGACACCCCAGGAGTCAGATGGGTGAGCAGACAAAGGCCTCAGGGTTCAGGCTCTGGGATACAGCTCCTTCCCTTCCCACTCACCCCCACAGTGCAGCCCTGGGGCCACATTAGGACCTGAAAGTCCCTAAACCCTGAACCCCCACTCACCAATTTTCGTTTTCCACCTGACGTAACACTTCCACACTGGGCCCTTGTTAGCACAAGATTAAAATATGTCAAGAAGTGACAGAAAATACATATATGTATTAAATCATTACATTGTACACCTGACACTAATATACAAGAGTCCCCCCTTGTGAGTGGTTTGTTACCCAAGGACAACTACAGTCTGAAAATATTACATAGAAAATTCCAGAAATAAACAATACATAAGTTTTAAATTGTGCGCCGTTTAAGTAGCAGGGTGAATTTTCTCGCTGCCTGTCCCATCCCCACCATCCCCTCCAGGTGAACCATCACATTGTTCTGCACACCCTCCACCCCAGTCACTTAGCAGCCATCTTGGTTGTCAGAGGGACTCAGTCGAATTGTGTTCAAGTCACACTTATTTTACTTAACAACAGCCATAATGGCTCTCACATAACTTTTATTACAGCCTATCGTTATCATTGTAACATTTCATTATTATTGTTGTTAGTCTCTTACTGTACCTAATTTCTAACTTAAACTTCATGTACTGCTGATGTTTGTAAGAGATAAAGCGAGCCCCAGATTCCGGGGTCCTGGGGGAACACAACACATCAAGGCAAACATCTTCACGTCTGCAGGCGGGTGCACACGCACATGGACTGGGAGCACGCTCACATCGCCCAGCTTTTTAATCCTTCCCAAGGTGACCGTCCCTTGCTCTTGATTGGAGCTCAGGTGCACAGTCTTTCGCGATTGGCTGATTTAAAGGGGGGGGGGGTTGGCCTTTGCCATTTCAAGATGGCGACCCCCGGGGGCGCTGCAAGGTATGCGGCCAAAATGGCGGCTGTCTAAACCTCCAGCATGCGGCCCACCAGCCGACAGTTTGACATGCTTGGCTTAAACCAGCGGTTCTCAACCTGTGGAAAGCACATACAGAAAACATATTGTTTTTGTGATTAACCACTATGCTTTAATTATGTTCAATTGGTAACAATGAAATTGGGTTCACCACAGAAAGATCAGACAGAGGCCAAAAACCAGGACTACAGGCTTTATTAGAGGAGAAGGACCCGCTGGGCTGTCTCGCAGGGGAGGACAGCCGCACTGCAGGGGTGGGCACGCCTTTTGAGGGGCGGAGTGGGAAGGGGTGGGGCTTAGTGTACTCCGCGCACGCTGATTGGTGGCTTACTGTATGGTCCATAAGGACAAGGGCTTAGGGTATTTGGCAGGTGAGGATTGGTGGTCCAATGTATAGTCCATATAGGGTACCTGCTTAGTCACTCAGGTATTTCCTGGCTGCGGTTACGTCGTACTCCGCCCACCAGTTGGGGGAAGGGAGGATCTATCAACCACAACATGAGGAACTGCATTAAAGGGTGTTTAACTGTATTAAACTGCATTAGGAAGGTTGAGAACCATTGGTTTAAACTGTTCTTTGACAGAAAAGATTACTTGTTTATTCTCACATCTTGAACAACATCAGTTTGGACTGCACAAGTCCATGTATTCATGGATTTTTTTCAATAAACACACTTGGCCTTCACGGATTTCACATCGGCGAATTCAGTCAACTGCAGATTGAAACCAGTATTTCCACATTCCCAACGGCAGATTTTTTTACTTTCTTCTGGCCAGCTTGCCCAAACTGTGGGGACAAAAAAATAATATTTCTCCTCTCACCCTGTAACCTCTTCCAGCTGTTATAGTAATCAAATTAATAGGGACAGATTAACAGGAGAAAATCAAATTTCAATACATACACGTGGGGAATTCACATAAGCAAGAAAATTCCAAAGACAGTGAGGCAGCATTGGGTATGTGACATTTTGGACAAAGGAGAAAAGCGGGGGATAGGGTCTCAGATTTTAGAAGTAATTGAGGAAGAGCAGAACACATGGCAGATAAATTCTTACAAACAACCCAGAAACAATGGGACAGGGGGTAGCAAACAGGTCCCCATCAGACACCTTCCCACCCACCACACTCAATGCAAATTAGGCTGCTAGGGCGACATCCTAAGATTTCCCCCCCATGGAGCTGGTCTTTGCCTCTTGAATCTCTGGGGCAGGAAGTGGGAGGGTCAAAGGTTCTTTCTGAGACTTGTTTCTTAATTAGCTTCACATTAATATCCCAAAAGGCAGCTTCAGGTGGCAAGTTTTGGTCCCCTTCAGTCCCAACCCCGGTTGTTGAATCCACAGATAGAAAGGGCCACAGGTGGAGCCAAAAGGTCTAGGAAGGAGCCCGGGCCAGCCTGGCTGAATGGTGAGAGCGTGAGGGTCCCGGCTTCGAGTCCCTTAAGGGCGGGGCGGGGGGGGGGGGGAATGAAGGTATAGGATCGGTGGCACAGGGTCTGCACACCTCACCCCCACCCGCCTGGGTCAAGGGCCAACCGCATGGGGGGAAAATATCTGTGTGGAGGGCTGGGCACTCCCGCGGTTTCAGGCCTCAGTGGGGGGTCTTGGCAGGCCAAGGATGAGGAGGGGCACGGACAAGGGGAGACCATCATGTTCTGAGTCGTTTACCTCCGTTTAACATCATCATAGGAAGAGGCAGGGGTCCTTTGGATCGACTGCACAGAGCGCCGGCCTCCCAGGCTCCGCGCAGGAGCCCTCCTTCCCAGGTACCGGACTAAGCAAGCAGGTGATTTGCAACAGGCGCGGCCCCCTTTTGTGGGTGTGCGCGGACGGGGGGTGGGGGGGTTCTGAACTTGAATGTTTCAGCAGAGGATCTTCAGGTATAAGAAGGCGCTGCAAGGTTCTGGAAAGTTCCCTCGGTCCGCTGAGGCTACGGGCGCCCCGAGGCGGGTTTACAAACTGCCTTGGTCCAAAGCCCCTCACAAACGGAGGCGGAGAAGTGGCCGGGAAAGATGGAGGCCGCCCGCCAGTCAGCCTCGTGCGCTCCTGCCCACCCGCGCCCGTCACTCACTCTGCGCCCGCCAGTCCCGCGCCCACCTGTCAGTCAAGCCAGCCTGGCGCGGGGCCTGGCGGAAGGGGCGGGGCGAAGACGCGGCCGCACACGATTCATTGGTCCGCTGGCGGGGAAACTCAGCGGCGCCGCGAAGCCGGCCCCGCCCCCGACCCGGGGGAACGGCGGCGGCGGCGGCGGCCCGGTCTGCGGAGGTGGTGAGCGCAGGCGTGGGCCGCGGCCGCGGCGGCGGCTGGGGCGGCGCGGGTGCGACCGCCGTTGGGCCGCCGCGGCCTTCTAGCTCTCCACGCCGGGCTGGGAGACGCCGCGCTCGCGAGGCCAGGGGTCCGGTGAGCCCCCGGCGGGCTGTACCTTTCGGGTCGGCAGGGACCGGGGATTGAGGCGGCCGTGCCTGGTGGGGGAGGAGCGAACCCCGAAAGAGGCTTCTCGGGGCGTTGACCCCGCGCTGCCGCGGGAATCCCCTCCCCCTGCTGCGTGAGCCTCTGTTCCCTACTACCCTCTGCAGCCTGAGCTTCCCTGCTGCCCGAACCCCTCTGCTGCGTGAGCCCCTCTCTGCTGACCGACACCCCCCACTCTGCTGCCTGCAACCCTTCCGTTGCTGCCCCCAAGCCCCTTCCTCTGTCGCCTGTACCCCTCCTCTGCTGCTCGAACCCGCTCCTTTACTGCCTGAATTCCTTCTGATCAAACCGCTTTCCTGCTGCCTTAAGCTCCGTCTCTGCCTGAACCCCCACCCTTGCTGACTGGCCGCCCGTCGCTGCTGTGGTGAACCTCCCTTTGCACAGACGATGCCCCCTCTTCCCCTTTCCGTTTGTGCTGACAGCCCAACCAGCGTTCCCATTGATGGAAGGAGCGTCTGCAGCTGTCCCATCCTTCAGGGACATGGCGGCTGAAAGAGCAGGCCTTTCCCTCCGATTTTATTTATTTATTGCTCTGCGGTCAACTGTTAGCATCCCAAATGGGGGAGGGTTGTGGATTTTGTTTGTTTAAAATGCTTCCCCTGCTGAAGTCCCGAGGCAGCCTTCAACATAGAGATGTTTTTCTTTAGGAGCCTTTAAAAAACAATCTAGACACAGCCTTTGGGGAGGGAATTTGGCTATTTTATTTGTGAAAACAAACAACAGGTGCCTTCCTGGGTGCCAGGGCCAGTCATCTCTTTTCGGTATCAAGTATCTCTGTGCAGGGTTACACGTGAGGATAAGCCCCTATAAAGTGGGCCTTAAGGGTTGTGTCTGTGTAAAAACCACCAGCAAACCACGTTAGAAACCACCCTGAAAATTCTGTTGCAGGGCCCTTTGCACCAGACCTTTAAGCACGTTGTGTCAAATCTTTACCACTTGCCACATGAGTCCCAAATCATGACGGACGCCAAGTATGTCCTCTGCAGATGGAAAGAGCGATTATGGCCTGCAAAGGTGACAGCATTATTTTCTAATTTCAGGAATAGAAATGACTTTTGGGTGACAAGCAAAATATTTATCAAGAGAGATTTAGGAGTTGCTTCAGTGGAGTAATTGAGCCTGAACAGTTGGCTGCTGTTTCTGTTGGCACCAGATCTCATTCCCCATTTAATGGGGTTTTGGTGGAGTGCTTACAAGGTTAAACTGCTGGAAATGTGTGGTGTTTTGTTTTTCACACTGAAAAAAAATTAACAGCTCTAAAAGGCATGTATGGCAGTAACTCAAGGAGATTTCTGGCAGGGAGTCCTGTGGTAGTAAATGATGGGAGGATCCGGGGAGGCCTTCCAGCCCAGCCGTAGGAAGAGAGGCAAACCTGAAGGTAGAAACCCATCCTTGTCAGGGTCTGCCACGGACCTCTAGTGCCTGTTTTCCCACCTGCAAAATAAGGAAGATTAGACAGATTATCTTTGAAGTTCTATGCTTTTATACTTTAAGAATTAATTATCTGCTACAACATAAACTGATGAACAAAAATTGGTCCAGAGACAAAGAAACACTGAACAGACCGTCTAACCTCAGAGAGAAGGCAGGGGAGGGGGCAAGGGGTAAGAGATCAACCAAAGGACTTGTATGCACGCATATTAGCATAACTAGTGGAAACGGACACTGGGGCGGTGGGGGTCAATTGGAAAAAGGACACATATGTAATACTTTAATCAATAAAAAAAAACCATAATAGAAACAAAAAAATGGATATGTAACATTATGTTAGAAGTCCATACATGTTATGGAAAAAGAAAAATAGAACAAGTAAGGGGATTGTGGTGATTGTTTTAGTAAATGGGAGAGTGGGGAAAGTGGGGTTATCAAGGAGAGATTCGAACAAAAACTTAAAAGAAGTGGAGTTAGCCAAGCCAATAAGTGGGAAAGAGGTTTCCAGCAGAAGAAGCAGCTATTAAGATCCTAGTGCAGGAATGGGTCTATTATGTTAATAAAACAGGAAGGAAATCAGTATGGTTGGGGTTGTGTGAGCAAAAGGAAAAGTATAGTAAAAAGTTAAACGTGCAAAAAAAATTTATCTGCTACATTTGTACCTGTTGTCACTGCTTCTTACTATGTGTCAATTGTTTGTTGTGTCTTAATAACAAGGATTTTTTTTTTTTAAACATAGGTTTTGGCCAGAACTGAGATGTCAACAACTAAGAAAAAAAAGAGATTTTTTCTAAATGTTCAAATACTCTCCTTAGACAAAAAGTTAAGTGTTACAGTTTTTTTAAGACTTTTATTTCCTTACCTGGCCCAGTGCAAGAACTCATGTACCTCAAAAGAAACTGTGGGCTGCGAGGCTGCAGTGGGCACAGGGGTGTCCCCACCTGGCCCCTCCTGCTGCGGTCCCTGGTCCCCTGTCTGCTGGCAGCTCCGCTCCCACCGCTGCCACTCTCATGCGCTGACAGCACCAACCACACTTGCATCCACTGACAGCACAGAGTGATTGGGGCTGGTGCCGTCAGTGGTGCAAGCGGTGGCTGCTTCCCCGATCGCCCCTCAGGAGTAGGGGGAGGTAGAGAAGCCCTCAGGGGTGATGGGACCAGCAGCCACAGCGTGCACTCGCTGATGGCACCGAGTGATCAAGACGCGCCAGGCACCAGCAGTGGGTGCGAGTGGCGGTGCCGGGAGTGGGTGCGAGTGGGGCTGGCACCGGGAGCAGGTATGAGTGCTGGGAGCAGGTGAGAGTGCCACGGCATGCGGGAGCAAAGAATTTTCAGTAACCACCAGAGGCTTGGCCCAATGACAGCGACTGGTGCCCTGCCTTGGTCTGGCGCCCCCACTACCTGCTCCACCATCCCAGCGCAGCCAACACCCGCCATGTTCCGCACATGCCCCCTGTGGTTGGCGCACCTCATAGTGACCGGTTGTTTGGTGTTTTGGTTCCGCTGTTTGGTCTATTTGCATATTAGCCTTTTATTATATAGGATAGGATGGGATTTCTGATTACCATGCCCCCAGAAAAGTGAAGTGCATGCCTAAAGGCTTATTATATTAACCCCCCCCCCCATTTGTGTAATAGACCCATCAGTTCTGAAATATTTGATTTTGAGTCAGTCCCTCTAATAAACTTTCTTTTCTTTTCTTTTTTTTTAAATATATTTTATTGATTTTTCACAGAGAGGAAGGGAGAGAGAGATAAAGAGTTAGAAACATCGACGGGAGAGAAACATCGATCAGCCGCCTCCTGCACATCTCCCACTGGGGATGTGCCCGCAACCCAGGTACATGCCCTTGACCGGAATCGAACCTGGGACTCTTCAGTCCGCAGGCCGACGCTCTAAGCACTGAGCCAAACCGGCTTCGGCTCTAATAAACTATTATTTAGAACTCAAGGCACACCCATGATTTTGGCAGCACATTACTGTTCTCTTGATTACCTGGAATGGAAGGACGTAAGATTATCTAGAAAGAAGATAAAAATACTCAGATCGAGTAGGACTGGCATCGTGTGTCTGGTGGAAGAATTCCCACTTCTAAATAGAGAATTAAAATAAAACCGAGGGGGCTCCCTTTGCAGCTCCCCACCCCTCTTTCTTCAGCGCCTCTAAGCTTGTTTAGTCCCCAGCTCACACTTTCCCTGCAGCTAGGGAGGTAATTGAATACTGGAATTTGAAAGGAGAGCACATCCTTTTAAACTAAAACACACCTGCCGAGCTGTAAACATCTATTAGTGACATTATCTGTACTCTGAAAATCTAACTGAAGGAGTTATTTGTGCAGTTGAAAGTAGGATGTGCTTTATTAAAGTCACAATTTGAATTCATTTTTACCCTTAAATCCAGCCAACCTTTTCTGTCTTTTTAAAAGGGGAAACAACCCCACATAAAATATTCACTAGGGTCCTTGCTGACTCAAACCTCAGGCACATGGATTCCTAGTTGGCTGTAGCTTGGTTTAAGTGTAAAGTTGAGAAGGAAGAAAACAAGCCTAATTCTTTTGTAATCTGAAGAAAACATGTTTGAAAGTATCTCCATGGCCTTGGTGGGTAGCAGGGAGTGTATAACAGTCATTTCTTTCCCTGCAGGGTGAGAGTGAAAAGCACAGAAGCCAAGATTCTGAGGAAGTCCCACATCGAGGACATCGCTGCCTTATTGGGTAAGGAACTGTGAGGCCTTAACAAAGGACACGTAGACACTCACCAGTTAGTCTTGTCATCCAGAATTCCTTACCATGGTGTTTATAAAATAGGGTCTGTGTTCCTGTACCTTTGGAAAAGCAGCTGTTTATTTTTCAAAGCAGGTTTCACCCTTGCACACCCTGGGCCTGTCAACCATCACCTCTCAGTTGCCACCATCTGTTTGCTCAGGTTGTGTTGGAGGCCAGTTGTTGGTGGGTGCTTTTATATGAAACACAGGAAGTCCTGTGTTGATGGAGGTTATACCCGCTGAGCTGGGAGATTGCATTTGTCACTAGTTTCCATGAATAGCATCAGGTCTGTGTGTTGGAATGAATAAATGACGCTGTTTCAGCAGAGAGGCCAGGCTAAACTCAATGCCCAGAGTGCTCTTTCCTGCCTTTGAGATACCCTTGCAGAAAAGTATGGAAAATTGACCTGCCAACAAGGAGTCCTTTCAGTCGGCTATTTCCCACCCTACCCTCCACCCCAGAATGCATTCCTCCCAAGTTCTCTTTTTAATATATTTTTGTTGATTACAGAGAGGAAGGGAGAGAGCGAGATAGAAACATCAGTGATGGGAGAGAATCGTTGATCGGCTGCCTCCTGCATGCCCTCCCACTGGTAATCGTGCCTGTGCTCTGACCAGGAATAGAACCGTTCATAGGTCGATGCTCAACCCCTGAGCCACACTGGCGGGGCCCTCCGAATTTTTTATTTCCTTGGAGTGGGTTCTCCTTGACCTTGATTGAATTGGAAGTTGTCAGACTACAAGAGGATTTGTGAAACATTTGAATATGTTTTGCTGGCAAGATTATTTTGTAATCTGGAGGAATTTATTTTTGTCACTCAATCAAGTTAGGGTTATTCAATTTGTTCTTTTAAAAAACTGAGCCCTGCAGCCCTGAATGCAGACCACAGCCAGTTATGGTTTTGCAGCTCTGTCCCTCTTTGGGGAAGACAGAGAGGAGAAGTGTCAGTTCTCCCTTGCGGTGGAAAACTAGCTATAGAATGAGACGGAGCCTGTAAAGTGATGCTCTGATGGCAGTGCCCGGGCACCTGGACGTCACCAGACTTTGTTTATTTACCATCCTTCAGCCTCACAGAACAAGGTTTCCGCCAAACCTGTGGAGGAGTTGACCTACAGACGGTCACTTAGAGTGGCTCTGGATATTTTGAATGAGAAAACCCATTCTCATCAAGAAAACTCTTCAAGGGAAGAAAGAACTGCTGTGTCTGCAGGAGAGAAGCACATGGAACTGGCATCCTCACTCTGTGATCCCAACCCTTCATCTCTTCTCCATGAGGGGGTGTTGGGCAGTTCCGGATCTGAGAGGAGGCTACGCGGACACCAGAAGCTGTCGGGCTCGTCCGCTAGTGAAAATGAGATCAAGTGCCAAATGGACAACAAGAAGGGGGTTGGGGAAAGTGAAAGCCCACTTATCCGGGTGGTCTCAGCTGGAGGTGGCTCTCGGGACCGGAGTAGGTCAAGAATACACCTCAAAAATGGGACGACCCTGAGTGAAAGGGGAAGGAATTTGGCACAGGAGCCCAGCAGGTGTCAGAATGGCTCTTCACTTTCAGTGGGAGAGCAGGAAAGAGAGAGTGAGGAAAAGACGGACAGCCCTGCAGTCCTGAGCTCACCTTCTGCAGCTACGGAGCAGGGTCTGTGTGCCAAAGGTCGCCACTCAGTTTCGCCATCAGGCAGCCCCACTGGGCACCCAGCCTGCCCGGATGCTCACGGCCCACCCGGTAAGCAGCTGTGCTCTGGCAGCCAGAGGTCAGGGCTAAGGGGATGCATGGCTCTGGGAAGCACCAGTAGACTTGGCCCTGCCATCCTCTTCACTCAGATAACACAGGTCTTCCTGTCCTGGAGGAAGGTAGGTCTGTTCCGGCGCTGGGACAGGGTGGGGCTCTGACCTTCCCTCAGCCAGAGCCAGAGCCAGGCCCCATGTATTTTTAACCAGATCTTAATGAGATCAGTACCAGAAGAGATCCAGAACAAAGATTTCCCAGTTCCTTTTTTGTCTGACTCTTGAACTGGGCTTTAATGACTCCACTTGTCCCCATATTTGTGTTGTTGTTTGTGTTTTGAAGGGAGGGAGGAGTTGGAGTGGGCCTGGGGCAGTGTGCCTGCAGACCTGTTGTGGGCGGCACTGTATTTGTGAGAATGCTCCCTTCCAGGATTGACTCCTTTTTTCTTAAAAGGTTGCAGAAGTGAGAACACAGGAATCTCTTAAGTCAGTGGTTCTCAACTTTCCTAATGCCGTGACCCTTTAATACAGTTCCTCGTGTTGTGGTGACCCCTAACCATAAAATTATTTTCGTTACTGTTATGAATCATAGTGTAAATATCTGATATGCAGGATGTATTTTCATTGTTACAAATTGAACATAATTAAAGCATAGTGATTAATCACAAAAACAATATGTAATTATATATGTGTTTTCCGATGGTCTTAGGCAACCCCTGTGAAAGGGTTGTTCGACCCCCAAAGGGGTCGCGACCCACAGGTTGAGAACCGCTGCTCTAAGTGATGAACTCACTATAGAGGTTCCTGACTTCCCGTGTAGACACATTTCTATGCAGCTGCAGTCAGGATCTATGATTTTTTCCATTTTCACATCGTAACGTCCCACTCATTTTTGAAACGCTAATTGAGAACTCTTCATTTCTGCTTGCTGGGGTGTCTCAAGTTCTCACTACCCACCTACTGCCCAGGGTTCTGCCCTGAGTCTAAACTTCCTTCATGAGGCCCATACCCTGGCATATTTGCAGGCTGCAGGGAACTGTTTGCAACTTCCCTGTGTTGTGACTACAGCCCTGCCTTGTCTCCCAGTTGTGTCACTGTCCCTGCATATCCACTGAGTGCTTCGCACCTGAAAGGGATCCTGCCCAGAATCCAGTCAATCTCTTGTGACTTCCATTGTTTTTTTGCCTTCTAACCTCGACATCCCCTCTCTGTCTCAGCCTCTGTCTCATGTGTTTGTCTTTTAAATGCCCTCTAATGGACATGTGCCCCACTCGAATCGGGCACTGTGGAAGTCTGTGTAACATGGATCTGTTTTCACTTATGGTCACAGATCACAAAGTGTTTCTTGGGGGATGAGTCATTCACCATGAAAGCCTAATCTGACATTTTTGGCAGACCATCAGTCTTCTGAAGAGTCAATGGAGTTTGATCCTGTTAATTCCATCCTGGAGGAGGATGAGGAGGAGGAGGAGGAGCCCCCAAGAATCCTTTTATATCACGGTAAGGCTTGAGAATGACCCAGGGGTGGGGGAACACCCTCGGATGTCTCAATCCTCTGGAAGGAAATATGAGTTCCTGGACCACTGACACCTTTGCCTGAAGGTCCATTGCTCTTTCATTTTTCTCCTACTGAGCCAACACCTTGGAAAGTGCCTAATTTTTGGTTCCCTGCCTTAAGCTTAACCACACAAAGGAAGGAGGGACTCTGTCAGCACGGGGCTTTCTTTCCTTGTCCCTCGTGGGAACAGGACAATCAAGTAAACAGGTGGGCTCCCCAGCCACCGTCGGAGTGTGGCCTGGCCCCTCATAGGCCTTTGGAGATGGCGCCTGTGTGTGTCGTTTAGAGGCGGGAGTTCTCTCCTCCCACACATGTTGCCTGCTCTCAACAGACCACCCTGGACAGATAAGAGCTGGGGACCCAGAATGTACACCACCACCACCAGGTCCTTTAGTTTTCTGAAATAATTGATTGAGAACCAGTTCCCTTGTTAGACTTGCCCATTACCCTCTCAGCTTAACAGAATCTAGTGTTTTTGTCTTTTTTTTTTTTTTAACCTTTTGATTTTGAAAGAATTGTAGATTCACAGGATATTGCAGAACTAGCACAGGAAAGGATGGAGACCTGCCCCCTAGCCTTCCAATGGCAACAGCTTGCAGGACAAGGAGGCCACGTGGGCACAGCCCCAGGGTGTCCCATGTCTCCCATGCCGCCTACATACCCTTGTGACGCAGTCTTTTCCCAGAAGTCACCAAGTGCTTTTCTCTCGCTGTCACTGTACTTATAGGTTTGCATTTTCCTTATTTTTACTTGATAACTCAGACTTTTTTATTAATCCTCCTCTGAGGATATTTTTTCCATTGATTTCTAGAGAGAGTGGAAGGGAGAGAGAGAAACATCAATTGGTTGCCTCCTGCCCATGCCTCAACTGGGGTTAAGGAACCTGCAACCAAGGTATGCGCCTTTGACCAGAAATGGAACTGTGACCCTTCAGTCTGTAGGCCAACGCTCTAACCTCTGAGCACTGGCCAGGGCATAATTCGGACATTTCTTACATTTCCACATGGTGCTCTGATTATTCTCAGTGGAAACTAGTTACTATTTACTAGGAGTGATGGGTGATCACATACTGAGCCTTCGCTACCGTCAGTGTCTAGATCAGGGGTGGGCAAACTTTTTGACTCGAGGGCCACAATGGGTTCTTAAACTGGACCAGAGGGCCGGAACAAAAGCATGGATGGAGTGTTTGTGTGAACTAATATAAATTCAAAGTAAACATCGTTACATAAAAGGGTACGGTCTTCTTTTTTTTTTTTTTTTTTTTTTTTAGTTTTATTCATTTCAAATGGCCGGATCCGGCCCGCGGTCCGTAGTTTGCCCACGGCTGGCCTAGATTGTCCCACAGCTCTGGGGCCACAGTGTCTGTGGCACATGCTTCTGGGAAATAACTCCGTAGCATCAGCTCCTGGAGCAGGGCTTCCTGGGCCACAGAAGGGACACTGCCTTCTTCCAGAGGAGCACGTCCATCCCCACAGCCACCAGCAGGGGGTCAGGTTGCCGTGGCCCCCAAACTTGGGTATTTGCTTTTTCTCCTGGTTTCTGCTTCCATTTGGTGGGGGTTGTTCCCTGTCACCATGATCGTCTGTCTGGATGTTTACTGTTGGTCTCTTAGTTGGCCGTCTGCACCTGGACCCATTGTCCTCTGAGAAAGGGAGGCTTCTCAGGGGAAGACAGCCCCTCACAGACCTGTGGAAGGTGGTTTCCAAGATTGCCTCTGTCCTCCCTCGGCCTCGCTTCTCACTCTGTAAACTTTAACTGTTAGATAGTTGGACAGCACGCCTTCCCTTCTACCACAGTAGTGTCAGACAAAGGATCTTGGCTCTTTGTCAGATACCAGCCTTTCTTCTCCAAGGTTTTGTTACCTGATTTTTTTTTTCTTTTTAAAACTGTTACCCGATTTTTTAAACATTTAAGTTATTTACTCATTTGGGAGTTTTTGGTGGAAAATAGTTTAATTTTGTTCAGAAATAACTTTATAGTTCTCTGATGGGTATTTAAATAATTCTCTTTCTTTTCCCTTAAAGTCTCCAGTTCCTCAGACAGATGAGCTTCTCAGAAACTGAGTTCTCACGTTGGGTCTTCATTGCGTGCTATTGGCTCCTTTCTGGTTTCTATCAACACTTTTAAAAAAAGTTTATTTTGGAGTAATTTGAGATTTACAGAGACGTTAACATGGTACAGAGTCCCTGCTACCAGCTTCCCCTGTTTCACAAACACTGTGTGACTATGGCATGTTGTCACCATTTGGAAACTAACATGGTGCCTCACTCTTAACTGCTCGGTGTGCTTGACCAAAATCGAACCCATGACCCTTCAGTTCTCGGGCTGACAGTCTATCCACTGAGCCAAACCAGCTAGGGCAGTCCTTAAGATCTTTTAAGTGAACTGTGGTAACATCATATTTAAACATTATCACAGTAACTGTTTTCTCAAGCTGATGCATTTGCTGCTTGCCGTGGGTCTGACTCATCTGTTCTGTCTTTTTGTTTATCTTTCTTTTTAATTCTAGAACCAAGTTCGTTTGAAGTAGGAATGCTGGTCTGGCTTAAATACCAGAAGTACCCCTTCTGGCCCGCAGTGGTAAGGACTCTATCTCCTAAGTGCAGTTACTTGGCCCCCTCAATGTTGAACCTGGCAAATGTTTTCACATTATTTCTAGGAGAAGTGTTGGGCGTAGAGGCAGGTTTTCTGAAGACATGTGTACCTGAATAAAGGGAGTGTAGTCATGGTGTCACCACTGATAACGTTTACCGGGCGGATTTTCACCACCAGGCTCAGAAAACCTGCTTGAAAAAAATATCCACCATTTGTTCATTTTAAGTGTGCATTTCAGAGTTTTTCCTCTGTAGGAGCTTTTTAATCTTTTAGATTTGGGGGTAGGAAGCCATTGTGCATATGAAAAAAGGCATTTGAGGTTCTGCCAAGTAGCTCATTTGGTTAGAGCATCAACCTGATAATGCCAAGGTTGCAGGTTCAATCCCCGATCAGGGCACATCTAAGTATCAACCAATAATGCATAAATAGTGGAACAACAAATCAATGTTTTGTGGGGTTTTTTTCCTCTCTCTTTTCCTCCTCCCTCTCTCTGTCTAAAATAAATCAAATCGGTAAATAATAAATAAATAAAAACAGGCATTTGAGATCCTGCCCAGTGCCCCACTGAGGTGAATAAGCTCAAATGTAGCCAAGTTTGAGGATTTGCTTTTAAGCTGGATGTTGCAAACAATCAGTTTATTGTTTAGGCAAAGGCACTGTCTTGGCTACTCTTTGTCCTTCTTCAGCTGAGACAGGATCTGCATAATTCTAGCCAGAGTTCTTTAATTTTTAGTGAGAGACAGTGGCCTTTAAGTTGGAAAGGTATTAGTCGTAGTCAGGAGCAGCTGTGTTGTCTGGATGAGTCTGACCTGCAGTCAGCTGGGCCTCCTTGCACAGGGCAGCAGCATGGCTTCAGGAAGGGCAGACCCTGCAGTGTTTGTGGATAGAATTTGTAGCTAGAACACATATCTGGTGAGTGGCGTTTCAGAAAGCCCCTGGCACAATTGTGGTAGCCTTTATCGGGGCCCCCTCCTCCCTCCAGTACCCCCTTCCCAAGAGATGCCACAGCCTGCTTATAGTAGGCACCCTTTTCTCTGCCCTTTCAGCCCTTTCCTCATTTCCACCAGTTCCCTGGGGGCCCTGCTGGTTAACGGGTTACCACCATGACATTCTTGGGGCATGGGTGTCCACACCCACCCTTGTCAGTGAACCTTGTGTGCAGTCTGTGAGGCAATACAGAAAGGGGCTCCTTGGCCTTTTGTCCAAGGACATGGGTTTGAGTCAGGCCCTGCCTCTATCTCGTGCCCTTGGCTGGTCCTGAACTAGCCCTGCTTGGCCACAGGTCAATCAGCCATGGCAGTTACATAGAGGTGACTGCTAACAGCAGAAGTAGTTGCTTTTATTTAAAATTTTAAGAAAACCCTGCCTGATTCTGCTCAGTTGTCAAACCCCTTAGAGCAGCGGTTCTCAACCTGTGGGTCGCGACCCTTTTGGTGGTCAAACGACCCTTTCACAGGGGTCGCCTAAGACCATCCTGCATATCAGATATTTACATTATGATTCATAAGAGTAGCAACATTACAGTTATGAAGTAGCAACGAAGACAATTTTATGGTTGGGTCACAACATGAGGAACTGTATTTAAAGGGCCAGAAGGTTGAGAACCACTGCCTTAGAGCCATGCATGCAGCAAAACTTGGGCAGTTCCTAAGCATGTTACCATGTGGACTTCACTTCAGTCCCCCAGCCAGCGGCATTCCCTGTCACAGGTGTCAGTTGGTCACCTCTTGCTCGGTGAGATGGTCAAAAAAGGATTTAAAACCCATGGCTTTTCCTGGGTTCTTGATGCTTTGTTTTCTTGGCTTTGCCCGTAGGTCAAGAACGTGAAGCGGAGAGAAAAGAAAGCGAGTGTGCTTTTCATTGAAGGACACATGGACCCGAAAGGGCGAGGGTGAGCCATCATCCCTGGCTCTTCACGGACGCTTCCCGGAATAGGAGCTGGGGAGCAGGCTTCCGGGGCCTGCCAGGTCACACAGCTCAGTTTTCCAACCTTTATTTGCGGGCTTTGAAAGGCCACCCAGCTAGACATGCACCAGACCCCCATTTCCCAGAAACTAGCAAAGGTGGCTCCCTCCATGCAGGTTGTGAACAGGGACCCTGCCTCAGTCTGAGTTTTGTCCTGTGGATAGTTGTCAGTCTTTCTCAACTCGCCCTTCGTCCTGGGATGAGAATACACACAATGTGTCACTCTGCTCCCCGCGAGCTCAGCAGGCACCACGCCACTCTGCACCGAGGCTACTGTAGAGCTTCCTGTCTGATCCTCTGGCACTTCGGTGCTGCCACCCCTCCTTTGGTCACCAGCAGTGTAGAGATTGGGCCCTGGCATCTCTGTCCCCTTAGGGACCCATGCAAGGGTACCTGTCACTCCAGGGCATGGCTCCAAGGGGCTTCCTTGGGCACCTGGGCACAGCAGTTGCCTTGGGTGACCTGGTCTGGCAGAGGCCTCTCCTAACTGTCAGAGGAAGACAATGTCTGTTCACGTGGTGCCTTATGTCTCTGTTACCTTGCCTCTGCTTTCTGCAGCATCACAGTGCCTCTCAAGAGGCTGAAGCACTTCGACTGTAAAGAGAAGCAGGCGCTTCTGGTAGGTTGCTTGTTATCTGTGCTTCACTAAATAGCTCCCTTATTCCTGTGTCCTTTGTGTAGCCTTTGAAACCACTATCATAGGGTACTACTAGCACCTGCCCTGCCTGCTTTGGCCACTACCCTCGGGTTCCTGCAGGGGCCCTCAACTACCCAGGAGCTTGCCACCTGTCTGTCTTGTGGTTCAGGGGTGGAAACAGGATGTGGCAGGGGAACTGTTTGTCCTAGGCTAGGGGCTAAGGTGGCAGAGAGGCTGGACATGAGGCCTGTTCCCTCTGGCTCCTTCTGAGGCCGCCCCTTGCGATGAGGCACAGGGCCTCTTGGAGTAAGGACCCTGCCCACCCGGTGCCTGAGCACAGCATGAGTTGGGGTCAGGACACTCCCCAGGCTACCTGCTCTGCTTCCAGTGGCCAAGTCCCCACAATTCTGTGATCAGCTTTGTTATACGTGAATCCATGAGCCATGAGGTGTTGCTCCTTCAAAACCCTGTCCAGTTTTGAAACACTGTTCTTTGTTATTCCAGCTTTCAAAAACACAAACCAAAACTGGGCAGGGAGGTGAGGCTTCTGCCTGCACCCCACTCGGGGGGTTCCCATGGCAGTTGCCTGGGTTTCCAGGTTGGGAAGCAGTCTGTGTCTGAGCTGTATCCTCAAGAGTGCTGGGATCTGGGAAGCCCGCTGCCCACTCCTGTGTTGTTTCCTGAGGCATCAGGCCTCAGGCTGCAGGGACAGGTGGGCGTTTGGAAGATTGGCACCCATACCAGACTCTTCCCTTCCTTTTCCCCCCTGATTTGCCCATCTCCACAATGTGAGCCTTGCTCCATCTGTTTTGTCTGCTACATCTAACCCACAACCAGCGCTGGGTGCCCGATCCCCATCAGAGTGCGTGTCGGTGGGGCCTGGTTCTAGTCTTTTTTTTTATTAAATCTTTATTGTTCAGATTATTACAGTTGTTCCTCTTTTTTCCCCCATAACTCCCCTCCACCCGGTTCCCACCCCACCCTCTGCCCTTACCCCTCCCACTGTCCTCATCCATAGGTGTACGATTTTTGTCCAGTCTCTTCCTGCACCCCCACACCTCTTTCCCCCCAAGAATTGTCAGTCTACTCCCTTTCCATGCCCCTGATTCTATTATATTCACCAGTTTATTCTGTTCATCAGATTATTTATTCACTTGATTTTTAGATTCACTTGTTGATAGATGTGTATTTGTTGTTCATAATTTGTATCTTTACCTTTGTCGTCTTCTTCCTCTTCTTAAAGGATACCTTTCAGCATTTCATATAATACTGGTTTGGTGGTGATGAACTCCTTTAGCTTTTTCTTATCTGTGAAGCTCTTTATCTGACCTTCAATTCTGAATGATAGCTTTGCTGGGTAAAGTAATCTTGGTTGTAGGTTCTTGCTATTCATCACTTTGAATATTTCTGGCCTGCATAGTTTCTGTTGAGAAATCAGCTAACAATCTTATGGGTACTCCCTTGTAGGTAACTGACTGCTTTTCTCTTGCTGCTTTTAAGATTCTCTCTTTGTCTTTTGCTCTTGGCATTTTAATGATGATGTGTCTTGGTGTGGGTCCTCTTTGGATTCCTTTTGTTTGGGGTTCTCTGTGCTTCCTGGACTTGTAAGTCTATTTCTTTCACCAGGTAGGGGAAGTTTTCTGTCACTATTTCTTCAAATAGGTTTTCAATATCTTGCTTTCTCTCTTCTTCTGGCACCCCCATAATTCGGATATTGGTATGTTTGAAGTTGTCCCAGAGGCTCCTTACACTCTCTTCATATTTTTGGATTCTTTTTTCATTTTGTTTTTCCGGTTGGGTGTTTTTTGCTTCTTCGTATTTCAAATCTTTAACTTGATTCTTGCGATCCTCTAGTCTGCTGTTGGGAGTCTGTATAATATTCTTTATTTCAGTCAGTGTATGCTTAATTTCTAGTTGGTTCTTTATCATAACCTCGAGGGTCTCATTAGATTTCTTGAGGGTCTCACTAAATTTATTGGCAGTTTCACTAGACTTATTGAGGGTCTCACTAAATTTATCGGCGGTTTCTAGAAAATTCTTGAAAAACCTTAAAAGTGTGGTTTTGAACTCTATATCCAGTAGTTTGCTTTTCTCCATTTCTGTCATTTGTGACCTGTTTCTTTGTCTCCGCATTTTTTATGCTTCCCTGTGTTGATAGAGTGGTTTTCTGTGCTAAGTGTCCTACAGGGCCCAGTGGCTCAGCCTCCCCAATTACCTGAGGAGGACACTCTTGGTGCACCCCTTTGTGGGCTTTGTGCACAGTCTTGTTGTAGTTAAGCCTTGATTGTTGTAGGTATCACTGGGAGGAATTGACCTCCAGGCCAATTGGCTGTGAGAATCAGCTGTGTCTGCAGTGGGAGAACTTCTGTGCTGGAGACACCCTTCTGGGGCAAGACTTGCTTCAATGGGGCTTTGGTGCTCACTGAGTCTGCCCCCTGAGTGTGTCCCTTATGGATCTGAGGAGTTGTAATCTGGATGGTCCCACTCTGACCACTGGGTACACTGGCTCTTGGATCTCTAAGGAGGTGCTAATTTAGCCTCTGCCTGAGGCTACCCAGCAGGAGCTATGGAGAGGTTCCCCTTCCTTGTTTGGGGTTTGGAGGTGCCCAGATGAGGCCCAGCTGTGAAGCAATGCAAGCTGCTGTGGGGCCTTGGGCCTTTTGGAAGTTCTGTGTCTCTCTGACCCAGCTGCAATTTGTTAGGTAATTTTCAGATTGCAAAGGGCCAGGCCTTTAATATGCAAAAAACTCTGCGCACAGCTTGGGTGGGGCAGAGTCTCAAGGGATCAACTGGGTGGAGCAAGCAGCTATGGCTGCTCCTCAGTCCTACCCTAAGAGGCCCTGGGTCTCAGTGTCCCGGTAATCGCTGCAAGCACCTCTGAGAGAAAGCCGCCCTCGCGTTCTGCCCGATGCCAGACAGTCCAGTTTCTCCCCATATGAGTCTGGGTCCCCAGAGACTCAGAACTGGAGTTCAGAGCAGTCGAGAGCTTGAGACTCCCTCCTGATTGAAAAAGACACCTGCGTCCTCAGTTGCCAGCCCTTGCTACGTGTACCTCCATACCTCTGCACTTCCTCACCTCCTCTGAGTCTCAGTGTGCTTTTCTCTTTCCTTCTGGTTGTAGAATTTCCACTCAGCCAGCCTTCCTGTGGTTCTGGATGATGTCCATTTTGTCTTTTAGTTGTATTTTTGAAGTGGTTGTGCGAGGCAGCAATTTCTGGTGTTTACCTATGCCGCCATCTTGGTTTCTCTCTGGTTCTAGTCTTATAGGGTTCTGTGCTCCCTGCATGCCAATCTGTAAGTACAGGGAGCCACTCACCTAGCCTTCAAGGCCACTGACTCCTCTAAGTGCTATGTGTATTCTTAGGGTCCTGGTAGCTTTCCCATGGTGGGGAGGAGGAGAGGCTGCCATGGTGCAGAAAGCAGAGTAGGAATCTTGCTTTAGGATCTGTTACAAGAAGATGATGTGTGAGCCTCTTGTGGTCTAGATTCCTGGAGGGCACCTGTGGCCAGCTTCCTGTTCCCCATATTCCCCTGTGAGATGAGTGTGTAGGGAAGCATGAAGTGGGTCCTCTGAGTAGCAGTGAGCAGCACAGCCAAGGGGTGGATGTGTCGCCTGTTCTAAATGTTGATGGATTGGCTCTCACGGTCTCTGCTGGCCCGTGGGTGACTATCACTGCTTGGTGGCATCTGTAGGCTCCTGTGTGTCTCCTTCCCTGGTGCTACACTGTCTGCCACCCCAGGTGCCAGTTAGTTTGGCCTTCTCCCGCTAGTGCTGCTTGCTGTGCTTGCATCCCTTGCCTGCTTCATGTGGTGACCACAGGAGGGTGGCCAGGCCAAGGCAGCAGTAACGCAGGACGTGGGTTCGTCTTGAGTCTGTGGACATTTCCTGGGAACTCGTCCCAGCTCAGGGAGCCTTGCCGGTTATATTGTTCTTGGTTTGGTGGTGGCCAGATGTCACTCTCTTTAGGCTTAGACTGCCCCTCTAAGTGCTGGGCACAAAGACGTCTCTTAAAAGGATTTATTTCTCACTTGAAGGTCCTCTCCCTATGATGGTCATGGCAACTGCAATTCGGGGTGTTTATCCACCTTCTCTTTGAGTCTTCAGGCCTCTGGCCTAGAGACAGGCTCACAAGGCACTATGTTCTGAGCAGCCTGGCCCCAGAGCTGGGCCTTGCCAGGCATTCCCTGCCAGCCTTGGGAGCCTGCCCGAGGGCATCTGCTGGGTGCCCTCCTAGATAAGGGGACTGAGCAGGCAAGAGGAGTCCCAGCAGACTCCTGTTGACACCTGCTGTCTCTCTTGTTGCAGAATGAGGCTAAGGAGGACTTCGACCAGGCTATTGGCTGGTGTGTCTCCCTGATCACTGATTACAGGGTCCGGCTCGGTAGGTGGGACCTCCACAGCTTGGACAGAGGGAGTGGGTGGGGGCAGCAGCATGGGGGCCTCCTCTGCAGACCCTCTGGTGGTCAGGGCTGAGCGCAGCCCATTCCCCATGGTAGTCTGGCCTAGCCCTTGACAGTTGTGTTCCAGTACAGGTGTACAAGCAGGCACCCAGGAAGAGGTGGTGATGTTGGACATGGGCAAAAGAAGGGGCCTCCTTTGAACCAGAGCTGGTTTCTGTCCACCCCAAGTTGGGCCGTTGGGAATTGGGAATCTGAATCAGGCTTGTTAGCAGAAACTCCTGGCCTTTTCGTGGCCTCGGGCTCCATGCTGCACCAGCCCTTCCACTAGAAGGGGTCTCATTGGGGCTGATGTGTTGTCAGAGCATCCAGACCCTACAACCTGAAAGGGGTTTCTAGAGCCTACCTCATGTGCACCTTCTCCCCTTCTCCCTCCTCTGCAGGCTGTGGTTCCTTCTCTGGCTCTTTCCTGGAATATTATGCAGCGAATATAAGTAAGTCCACCAGCTCCTCTTGAAAAGTGTGGCCTGCTTTTTAGTCTAAAAGTGACAGGTCCCCAGGCCTTCTCCTGGATTGTGGGATCGTTTAGCTAGCATGGTATCCACAGGGCACCCCCAGGTCTCCTTTCCCTCCCTGCCATAGGGGCCTGGACAGCAGGTCCACTTCTAAAACTGCCCTGTCAGTGATAACGCCCAAACGTTAAAATATATGAACAGTGCTTTTTGTCTTCCTTGTCTCTCTGTTTTCATTTAGTGACAGTCGCACATACATACTTTCCTCCCATCCTTAAAGAGGGAGGTAGATGAATTAATGCTGCTTTTGGGGACTGGAGGGGCTCTGCTCTTTCAAGTTAAACTTGGCTAAAGGGCAGAGTTGAGGGAATGATGAGGGCTTCTGCCAGAGGAAGAACCCTTTAGGAATGTGGCTGCCCCAGTGTCCGCATGGCCTGGGGTCTGCCCCATACCCCCAGGACATAGTGAAGGGATCCCACCTGGCCGGCAGGCCCACAGACGCATGCCTTGCCTTCTCTTTAGGCTATCCTGTCCGCAAGTCCATCCAGCAGGATGTCTTGGGGACCCGATTCCCTCGGCTCTGCCATGAGGATCCTGAGATGCCTCTGGCTGGGAGTCCCTGGGGCAGGAGGCAACCCTGCAGAAAAGTCTTGCCCGATCGATCACGAGCTGCCCGGGACCGGGCCAACCAAAAGCTGGTGGAGTACATCGTGAAGACGAGGGGCGCTGAGAACCACCTGCGGGCCATCTTGAAGAACAGGAAGCCATCCAGGTGGCTGCAGACGTTTCTGAACTCGGGGCAGTATGTGACGTGTGTAGAGACGTACCTGGAAGATGAGGAACAGCTGGACCTGGTGGTGAAATACTTGCAAGGGGTCTACCAGGAAACAGGCAGCAGGATGCTGACGCAGATCAATGGTGACCAAATCCGCTTCATCCTGGACGTCCTTCTGCCTGAAGTGAGTGGCCAGCAAGACATCCTGTGCATGAGGGTGGTGGGGGCCTGTGGTGCGGGCCCAACTATAGACCCAGCCCACTTTTGCCCAGGCATGGGCTGTACCAGGCATAGGGCATGGGGTGGTTTGATGCTAGAATGTCACCCTTCCAAAATCTGCCTGGAGGGTATTCATGGAGTCCCAGCCCTCCTGGCCATTCCGTGGGCAGTGGCACAGGGCTAGGGTGTTCTGATCTCATCGCCAGCCCTGGGGGAAGAAGATGCAGGCTTCATCTGCATGTACTGGTAGTGACTGTTCCAGAATTTACTCTGGAAACGGTAGTTTTAACTTCCCTCAGTACTGGGGCTGGGCTGGCTGGGCAAGGAGCAGACACAGCTCTAGGTTACTGTGAAATTCAGAGTGGTCACTGCTGGGTGTGTGTGCACAGTGTGGACAAGATACTGACAAATGGAAATATGTTGAACTTTACAATTGTCGCAAGTCCCAAATATATATATATTTTAAAGAATATCGTAAACCCTTATGTGCTCATCACCTGGCTGGAATGGTGACCTCAGTCCATATGTGCCTCCAGTCCTTCCCCCAAATTAGTTTTTTTTGGCGGAGGGGAACCCCAAACATGTAAAAAAAAATTGGGAGATACACACACACACACACACACACACACACACAAATTGAGTTTAGAGAGAGAGAGAGGAAAGGGGAAAGAGAGAGAAACATCAACTTGTTGTTACAACTATTTATGCATTTATTAGTTGATTCTTGTATGTGCCCTGACTGGGGATTGAACCTGCAACCTTAGCACATTGGGATGATGCTCTAACCAACTGAGCTACTTGGCCAGGGCCCAAATGTTTTTTATTAATAAATACTTCCTTGTGTATCTTTAAAATGGGATAATCCTGCTTCCTGGGAACATTTGGGGTTGTCACTCTAAGTGCTCCTGGCATCAAGAAGGTGGGGCCAAGATACTGCTCAGCAACCCAAGAAAGCCCCACAAAGAATGACCTGGCCCTGATGTCTTTTGATATAACCACAATGCTCTTCTTTCACCTAAAAAAATTGACAACGATTCCTTGATATCAGGTATCTATTATGTATTCAAATCATCACTATTGTACCTTTTTATTTTTAACAGTAAACTCAAAATTTTTCTAAAATGCACTTGTTGGTTTGGGTGCTGCCTTTTGTTATTATATGCTTTTAATGACAGGAACTCTCGTCTTTAGAAGATAATGTTACTGATTTAATTCATAAACTTTATTACAGCAGAGATGTCACGGGTTCCATACATATCTTTTAGACCATAAATGGGGACGTGTCTGGAGGCCAGCATGTGGTCGAACTGGCCCCTTGCTAATTCTTCATAGCTTGGCGCCGAGAGTGGCCTGACCTGGTGTTGACCTGTTCCCCTCTTGCAGGCCATCATCTGCGCGATTTCTGCGGTGGACGCGGTAGATTACAAGACGGCTGAGGAGAAGTACATCAGAGGACCTTTGCTGAGCTACCGGTAGGCTGCTCAGAGCCTTGCCCCAACCATTCTACAACGTACCTTCCAAGGCTTGTATTTGCACACATGCTAGCAGCTGGGACTGAGGCCCCTCTTCTTGATCTGTTGGACTAGATACCCACTCTGGTAAATGAGTCACATAAACTTGAAAGTATACATTAGCACTTGGCAGTTGCAATGCCAGACGAACCCGGTGAAGCCAGCAGTGGACATTCTTGTCCTCTGTCGAGTTTGGGCTATGGGCCCTGGGCACTGTACTGGATACATACCGAGGACCCATGTAGCACCCTAGAGGGGCAGCCAGGGTGACCCCGGACGTGTACTCGGCCTCTCTGCCTAATCTCTGGTTGCTGAGGGCTGATACTGTATTTTCAACTCTCCCCTGTGCTGCAATGGCATGGCTGTTTGAGAACAGAAGCACTCGTCCTGATGGGTATTCACCAGTCAGAGAAGGCTCTGATCAAGACGTTTCTCTCACATTGGTGTGGTGAGCTGCCCTTGGAATTCTGGCCCTGGAGCCCCTAATCCCTTCTGGGCTTGTTGCCAGGTCTTGCTGGAAACAGGCGTGGCTGCGTGCCAGTGACAAGCTGAAGACTCAACTAGAGTCACAGGCTAGGGGCTCCCTCCAGGGCTGACTGGGCACTGTCACAGGACACTTGGTGAAGGCGCTCGGCATCCTTCCCAGGCAGGGCCCCAGTGTGTGCAGGGAGGGTAGGAGGGCTGCCTGCCGGCCTCAGTGGATGACAGGCCTCCTGTGCAGCTGCCCACAGAAGAGTCAATTGGCTCTGCGTGCAGCTCACTTAACAGGACAAGAAGGGCCTTCGGAAACAAATTCGGCATCTCGGTTCCTGGATCTCAGGCCTGGCGCGATCCATATACAGTCAAGATAGTGTTCTTGGGGGAAGCTGGGCAGAGCAGCTATGTCTGGGAGCTCAAACTTCTGCTCCTGTGATCCTGTCTCCATCTCCACACTCTTCCCTCTGCTGGGCTGCCAGCATTTCTTCACAGCCTCTGCCTGCCCTGAACATGTCAAATGCCCACTGGAAATGAGGTTCACCGGCTAACATAACTGAATTAGGGTGAAAACACCGGCCCCATTTTATTCCTCAGGGATGTGGTCTAAGGAACACAATTAGTGATTAGCCTCTGTTTCTGTTCTTTTGCCCCAATTTTTAGCCACATGGTCTGTCTGTCATGATATACACCCGTGTCCCTCTTGTTTTATAAGTTAAGAGGTTGTGCACAAAATGGACTTTACTGTGCATCGCTAAGATGTGTGTGCTGTTTCTGTTGTGCTCATTTTCAGGCTGCCGTGTTTCTTGTTTTGAACTGACGTGTGCACATTTACCTCCAAGGTTCCTGTGTTTACCTGAGCCACCTCTGAGTTAATGTGTTTATTTATATCCTGAATGCAGTGGCCAACCAAGTGGTTGTTGACACAGTTTTTCTTAACTGGGAATCACTTAAAAAGGACAATTTGGCCCAGCCGGGTGTGGCACAGCGGTTGAGCTTCAACCTAGGAACCAGGAGGTCACCCGTTCGATCCCCGGTCAGGGCATATGCCCAGGTTGCAGGCTTGATCCCCAGTGGGGGGCGTGCGGGAGGCAGCCGATCCATGATTCTCTCTCATCATGGATGTTTCTATCTCTCTCTCCCTCTTCCTTCCTTCCTCTCTGAAATCAGTAAAAATATATATTAAAAAAAAGGACAATTTGATCCCTAAACGGTTTGGCTCAGTAGATAGAGTGTCAGCCTGCAGACCCAACGTCCCAGGTTCGATTCCTGTCAAGGGCAAATACCTTGGTTTTAGGGTCCTCCCCGGCTCAGGCCCTGGTAGGGGCTTGTGCAGGAGGCAACCAATCAATGTGTTTCTCTCTCATTGATAATTCTCTCTGTCTTTTTCTTCCACTCTCCCTAGGGATCAATGGAAAAATATCCTTGGGCCCTAACTGGTTTGGCTCAGTGGATAGAGCGTCGGCCTGCGGACTGAAGGGTCCCAGGTTCAAATCCAGTCAAGGGCATGTACCTTGGTTGTGGGCACATCCCCAGTAGGGGGTGTGCAGGAGGCAACTGACTGATGTTTCTCTCTCATCGATGTTTCTAACTCTCTAACCCTCTCCCTTCCTCTCTGTAAAAAAGTCAATAAAATATATTTTTTTAAAAATTAAAAGAAAAGGAAAGAAAAATATCCTCGGGTGAGGATTAACACCCTCTCCGACCGCTCAAAAAAGGACAATTTGATATTTCATACTTTTAAAAATTATTTTTTGCCCTGGCTGGGTTGTTTAGTGGTTAGAGTGTTGGCCTTCAGACCCAAGGGTTGTGGGTTTGATTCCCTGTCAAAGGCACATACCATACCTCGGATGCAGGTTCCTCAGCCCCGGTAGGAGTGCCTGTGGCAGGCAACCAATCAATATGTCTCTCTCCCCGCTCCCCTTCCACTCTCTAGAAATCAGTGGAAAAAATATCCTTGGGTGAGGATTAATTATTTTTTAAAATATATTTTATTGATTTCAAGAGGAAAGGAGAGGGAGAGAGAGAGAGAAACATCATTGATGAGAAAGAATCATTGATTGGCTACCTCCTGCATGCCTCCCACTGGAGATTGAGCCTGCAACCCGGGCATGTGCCCTGACCAGGAATCAAACTTTGACCTCCTGATTCATAGGTTGATGTTCAACCACTGAGCCATGCTGGTCGGGCAAGGATTAATTAATTTTTTAAAAATTTTCTTTATATAGTTGTGGTAAAATATGCATAATACAACTTTACCATCTTAAATCATTTAAACCTTTTTTTTTTTTTTTTTAATATATTTTATTGATTTTCTACAGAGAGGAAGGGAGAGAGACAGAGAGTCAGAAACATCGATGAGAGAGAAACATCAACCAGCTGCCTCTTGCACATCTCCCACTGGGGACGTGCCCGCAACCCAAGTACATGCCCTTGACCGGAATCGAACCCGGGACCTCTCAGTCCGCAGGCCGACGCTCTATCCACTGAGCCAAACCGGTTTCGGCTAAACCTTTTCTTTTACTATGATTTTAATGTGGAGAGGGGAAAGAGAGAAAACATCAGTTTATTTTTCCACTTATGTATGTATTCATTAGTTGACTCTTGTATATGCCCTGACTGAGGATAGAACCCACAACCTGGGGGTATCCGGACAAGGCTCTCACCAACTGCACTTTCTGGCCAGGGCCATCTTAACCATTTTTAAGTGGACAATTCAGCAGCATTGGACACATTCACATTGTCGTCCAAACCATCCCCACCATCCTCCAGGACTTTCCACACTGAAACTGCCCCCATCATACATCAACTCCTCTGTTTCATGCTTTTTAAACACAATTAATTACTAAAATGAAGCTGTCGTTTTTTATCTTCTGAAGGGAAAAAGAAATATTTGACAACCAGCTCCTAGAAGAAAGGAACCAGCGATGCTGATGGGGAGGCGCCCCCGTGTGTAGTGAGAGTTGCCGGAGGTCCCTGGGCTGTGGCACACGGGCTCTGAAGATGGAACTGGAGAGATGTGAACCTCAGATCTGTCCATGGGTTTTATTTTCCTGGCTTTTCAGGGAAGATACAGTTCCTGAAAGGTTTTTGAAAGGACAAAACTGACTCATTTTGCATTATTTCATTACTTGCGACTGTACAGAATAGTTTAATATAAGGTACACATTTGTCTTTTTATGTTAAAAAGCATTGTATCCGATATTAAACAGGAGTTGTTGTTTTTTAAAGAGTCTGATATGAATGTATAGCTCCAGATAATCATGTGTTTTTCCATTTCCCCCTCCTTTGTGTGGTTTCCTCTTAAGATGGTTCCTGAGTTTGCTGTGCCTCCTTATACATTTTTTAGGAAAACAGTATTTGTAAAAGGCAGAAACGTGCTTTAGCATTTGCTATGTTGCTCATGCAGGACAAGAGACAGACATAAATCTTTCTTAGCCTCTTTCTGCTCGGACTCAGGTCGGTGAGTCTCCGCTCCAGACGGATGTCGAGGCTGCCTGTCCCTGTGGATTTCCATGCATGTCCCAGCGCTGAGCATTGTCACAGCCCAGCCAGCCCTATTGTCTCAGTAACCTACGTGGGTAGCTGTGATGATGCCGTGTTTTCACTGCTCCCACATGGGCAACTAAGGCCATTGTGTACATGCCCTGTACCCAGCTCTTGGTCTGGGAGTCACAGGATTGGGCTTGTTCCTGTCCAAAGCATGAGACGGGTCCCAGGGCCTCTGGCTTGGAATTCTAGCTGTATACAAACCCATGCCCCATTTTTACTTGGCCAGGCCTTGAACACATACCAGTTAGAGCCCCACACCAATGAGTTATTTATTCTAAGCTGGTGCAACACTGTTACAGTAAACATTGGCGATGTTAACGTCAAGGTCCTGCCCCTTCATTATTACCCTGGCTTCGTTGTCACCCATGACGACACGCCCTCTCTCCTGGTTGTCCCCCTTACCCGATGGGGATTACTGCAGGGGACAGTCTGAAGGAGACTCCTGGCATGTGTGAGAGTGGGTGCCCTGGTGCCCTGAGATGTTGAACAGGAAGGAGCTACACAATCACTTCTGGTTGGTTAACAGGATGTGCTGGGGAGATGGCACAATATGTTGGGGGCCTCAAAACCCTGCCAGCGATCTTTGTCTCAGTTTATTTTGCTCAAATCTAAGAGCAGGAAATTGTTACATGTGGCTCTAACAGACCTGCTGTCATCCCTCCTGAGTTGGCCAGAGGGGTGACAGTATAGGGCCAAGCTTGGGGGAGAGGGATTGGTGGCCCAAAGCTACGACCATAGTGGGTGGGGGTCTGCATCTCATGGGGAAGGCTCCTGATGCCTAGTAGCTTGGCCCTGCACAGGTCACTCTTTCTGGACCGAGTCCTCTATCCTCACACTGGAGGGCCCCAGCAGCACTGCCAAATGGGCCTGGCTCCCTTCCAAAAGTTTGATGGCATTGACAGTGAACAAATACACAGGCTGTACTTTTTGGATAACAAATGTCCATGAGGCCCCATGGAAACCCTGTGGTCCACATGGGCCTATTCCACTATTGTTAAGCATTTTTAAATGTCTGTTTCTTTGCTCATCTTCACTGTGTTTCAAGGCTGTGCTGTAGACTTGAACCGTTCAGACCGGAAGTAAATGCCATTTTGGAGCTCTGACTGCTTTCCTGGGCTCCGCGTGCGTCTTCCTCAGGTCGTTTTGGAGCTTGTGGGGTCCAGCCCCAGCCCCATCTGGGGAGGCTTCTAACCACATCCTGGCCCCATGTCCCAACAGGTGTTTTCAGCACTTGCTGTGTTTTTGTGGATTCTGGGTGTTTGTCTGGAGGCAAGGTTGCAGTGGTGGCTAGTGGGATGGGTGGAGGTCTGTTCTCCCTCTAAATGGGTGGTGGTAGTCGTTCAGGAAGTCACAACCCGCTTACCTGCCAAGTGAGAAATTTCCTAGAAGGCCTGAGAGGTGGTCACTGCCCCTGGGGAAGCCAGTGCCACTCAGCTGCTTCTCAAGTATGAAGAAGATGGACTTCACCCAGCACAAGGCGGGGCTGCAGCTGGGCACCCCACCCACCCACACTCCCCTGCACCCATCAGTCAATGGCGATGGCATCCCTCCAGTGTTCCGGCAGCTAAGCCTGTATATCTCTTACAGCAGGCTCTCTCCTCTGTACTGTTGACATGGGGCGGGGGTGGGGGAACGTTCTGGGCACTGGAGGAGGGTTTTTGTTTCTGTTTTTTTAAAAATATTTTTTAGTTATTTTTTTTACAGAGAGGAAGGGGATAGAGAGTTAGGAACACTGATGAGAGAGAAACATCAATCAGCTGCCTCCTGCACACTCCCTGCTGGGGATGTGCCCGCAACCAAGGTACATGCCCTTGACCGGAATCAAACCTGGGACCCTTCAGTCTGCAGGCTGACACTCTATCCACTGAGCCAAACCGGTTAGGGTTGGAGGAGGGTTTTGAGCAGCATCCTTGGCCCCTGCCGCTTGCCAGGAGCACCCCCATAAACTGACGGGGATCTTGCTACCTTTCCCTGTCACCATACCTACAGAGGCAGTGACTCCTGCCTGCCTCCTCCACCCTTTCCCCATGGGCTTTGTGTAGCTAGTTGCTCTAAGCTGCCAGCACCTCTGCTGAGTTTTCTCTGCCCCCTTGTCCTCTCCCAGGACCTCCTGAGACACTTTCCTCCAGCCCAGCCCTCCACTGAACCTCATCCAGACCCTGGGACCCTGCAACCACACAGGTGCCTTCCCTATGGTCAGTTGACTCCCAGCACCATCCTCTACAGCAGAGCAGTCAACCTCACCCTCAGGGAAGTAGCCATTTTCTACAGAACCACTTCCTGGAAAGGAGATTTCATTGCATGTGTTGGCACCTTTGCAAGTCTGTTACTTTAGAAATGATTTTTTTTTTAAATATATTTTATTGATTGTTTACAGAGAGGAAGGGAGAGAGATAGAGAGCTAGAAACATCGATGAGAGAGAATCATCGATCAGCTGCCTCCTGCACATCCCCCACTGGGGATATGCCCGCAACCCAGGTACATGCCCTTGACCGGAATCGAACCCGGGACCTCTCAGTCCGCAGGCCGACGCTCTATCCACTGAGCCAAACCAGTTTTGGCTAGAAATGATTTTTTTTAAAGTAGCATATTCACAGGGTAAGAACCTCAAGCCACAGAGAAGCCTGTCTGCACAATGAACACGGGTCACTCTGGCACCAGGTTCACAGCCTGTACTGCCCCACATTTCCTGTGCTCCCTCTCTCCGCCCCCGTCCCATGTATCTCCTCTCCCTCCCCCCTCCCTTCTCTCCCCTCCCCTTTCCCAGAAGACCTGGGTTCCTGAGGCAGGCTCTTTCTTCCCCATTTATTGCTGTTTAACAAATTGCACCAGATACCCGGGAGTTGGAAACAACATTCTGATTTCTGTGGGTTAAAAATTCAGGAGCAGTTTGGCGGGGAGGCTCTGTGGTCCCCTGAGGTCTCTCTCAGTCAGGTGTGAGCCTAGGTCGGGGGCTCAGCTCCCAAGATGCCATGCTCACAGGGTGGGAACTTTGGGGGAAGGGAAACCCAATAAAGGCGGGTGTCCTTAATGTATCCATATTGGTTCAGGAGTTGTGATAATACATCAGATCAGTGTAACATGTTAACCACAGGTATGGGGCACATCCTATATAATAAAAGGCTAATATGCAAATTGACAGAATGGGGGAATGACCAGTCGCTATAACACATATTGACCACCAGGGGGCAGACGCTCAATGCAGGAGCTGCCACCTGGTGGTCAGTGAGCCAGGAGCCGGCTCATGGCTGGTGAGCATAGTGGTGGTGGCCGGAGCCTCTCCCGCCTCTGCAGCAGCATTAAGGGTGTCTGACTGCTGGCTTAGGCCTGCTCCCCAGGCATAAGCTGTCAGTCGGACATCCCTCGAGGGCTCCTGGACTGTGAGAGGGCCCAGGTCTGGCTGAGGACCACCCCCCTCCCCCCCGCCCAGTGCACAAATTTTGAATTTCATGTACCAGGCCTCTAGTTGGAACTATAATATCTTTGTAACTTTTCTATAAATCAAAACCTTGATGTGTCTAAGATACAAAGTCAATTTAAATATGAAAATGCAGCCCTGGCCAGTTTTGCTCAGGAGGCAGTGACCGTTTGCTCAGTGGGTAGAGTGTTGGCCCAAGGACTGAAGGGGCACGGGTTTGATTACTGGCCAACGGTTTATACCTTGGCTGTGGTTCAATCTCTGGCCCTGGTCAGGGTTTGTGCAGGAGGCAATCAAGCCATGTGCCTCTTACGTTGATGTTACTCTCTCCCCCTCTCTTCCCTTCCACTCTCTCTAAAAAAAAAGAAAAGAAAAAAAAAGAAAAGAAAAGAAAAAAAAAGAAAAGAAAAAAAAAAAAAAAAGAAAAAATATTCTCAGGTGAGGATAAAACAACAACAACAAAAATAAATACAAAAATCCAACTGTACATCATGGCCAGTTGTGGGAACTACAAGGAAAGGTTATTTGTGCATCTGCCAGAATTTTAGAGTCCTGTCAGAGTGGCCACGCTTTTATTATTATTGTTTTATTTTTTTTAATTTTTAAAATTTAAGACAGAAAAAAATTGACTTGTTCCACTTATTTATGTATTCATTGGTTGAGTCTTGTATGTGCCCTGACCGGGGATCGAACTTCACAACCTTGATATGTCAGAACAATGCTCTATCCAGATGAGCTACTCAGTTGGTTTGGCTGTGCCTCATCTACTCTTTCCCCACCTGTGTGTCATCCCTTTAGCAACAGGGTTTTGGCCTAACCCCACACCTCTCATTCCCAAGGGACCTTGAGCTCCTTAAGAACAGGGACCAGGCCTTGCTTTGCTCAGTACCAGCACAGACCAGGGAGTGGTCCTGCTAGGAGACCAGCTCTGTCACTTACCTGCCTTTGCCTGTTTGGGCCTCAGTTTCACTGTACATAAAATGGACAGAACAGCTACATAGCAGGATTGTCAAAATGAAATGATATACAAGGGGAAAGTGTTCTTGAAATCTATTTTGCCAGTTTTGATGTTCAGTAATGTTTGGTTTTACAATTAACACTGGTTCTAATGCTATCACTTTTTTTAAAAATTGGGTTGCCCTGGCCTGTTTGGCTCAGTGGATGGAGCGTCAGCCTGCGGACTGAAGGGTCCCGGGTTTCATTCCGGCCAAGGGCACATGCCTGGGTTGCGGGCTCGATCCCCAGTGGGGGGCGTGCAGGAGGCAGTCAACAATGATTCGCTCTCATCATTGATGTTTCTCTCTCTCCCTCTCCTTTCCTCTCTGAAATAAATAAAGAAATATATATTTTTTAAAAAAGAAAGAAAGAAAAAAATTGGGTTGCACCCTAGCCTGTTTGGCTCAGTGGCTAGAGCATCGGCCTGCAAACTGAAAGGTCCCAGGTTTGATGCTAGTCAAGGGCACATGCCCGGGGTTGTGGGCTGATCCTCAGTGGGGGACTTGCAGGAGATAGCTGATCAATGATTCTCATCATGGATGTTTCTATATCTCTCTCCCTCTTCCTTCCTCTTTATATTAAAAAAAAAAAAAAAATCGGGTTGCCCTGGCGGGTGTAGCCAGTTTATTGAGCATCATCAGCTCTTGCACCCAAGTTTCAGATTCCCGGTCAGGGCACATGCCAGGGTTTCAGGCTCAATCCCAGGTAGGGGGCGTGCAGGAGGCAGCCAATTGATGTTTTCAATCTCTCACATGTATGTTTCTCTCTCCCTTCCTCTCTCTCTAAAAATCAGTAAAAATATTTAAACAGAAAAAACCTAATCATTGATTTTTAAAAAATCGGGTTGATGAAAGGGAACGTTTAGGTTGGAATCATAGTCTTGGAGGTGGGGACAAGGGGTTTTGAGTGCGGGATTTGAGTTCCTTGCTCTGTCCTTCCCACGTTGGCATGAGTGGCAGCCCTGCTCTTCATCTGCAGAATGAAGACACATTCTGGTGAAAGGACAAACTGCACCAGCTGCGAAAAAGGGTAATGATGCCCCCTGGCGGCTGGCTGGCGGGGCTCAATGATTGAGCGGCGACCTATGAACCAGGAGATCACGGCTCGATTCCCAGTCGGGCCACATCCCGGGTTGCAGGCTCGATCCACAGTGTGGGGCATTCGGGAGGCAGCCGATCAATGATTCTCTCTCATCATTGATGTTTCTATCTATCTCTCCCTCTCCCTTCCTCTCTGAAATCAAAATATGTTAAAAACAAAAACAAAAACACACGATGCTCCGGGGCACTGAAACGCTCGCCGAAACTCGGGATTGAACCAGGGACCTTTAATCTGCCATCCAGCTCTTTTCCAACTGAGCTTTTCGTGGGCGTGGAAGGGTCCCTGTCATCTTCATTTCACTCCATTCAGCGGCGCACGCAGGCGTGGTTCGCCCTGCGCTTACCGACCGCGCATGCCTTGTAAGGCCCTGTCTGAAGCAGGGTTATAACTCAGTCTCTGTGGCGCAATCGGTTAGCGCGTTCGGCTGTTAACCGAAAGGTTGGTGGTTCGAGCCCACCCAGGGACGCAATCTTACTTTTGCCTCTCTGGTGAGGGGGGAAAAATGGTGCGGGCACCTGCTTTTTTGGAGGCGGACTCCCCTGTCCTTTTATCCCTCGTGGGGCGTTGGGGGCGCACAGTGTCGGGGACGTCCACACAGGCGGAACGTTCTGAGCCTGGGTTCCGTTTTCCCTCAGCAGCCGAACCGCTTTGGGTGACGGCCCCGGGCACTCGGAGAGCTAAAACGGACGGACTGCAGAGGTTATCTGAAGGCCGAGGCCAAGATGGCGGCGTTGGCGGGTGAGCGGTCCGGGGCGCCTGGGTCAGGGGCCCCTGGGGAAACTGAGGTCGGGGTAGCGACGCAGGACGCCCCCCCCCCGCAGCCTCGGGAGGGCCCCGGAACGGGCCCTGGAGGAGCCCAAGGGTCGGCCCGGGGAGCTGCCCTGCAAGTTCCCGAGAGAGAGGTGGCCTGAGATTGCAACCCGGACCGGCGGGGAAACTGAGGCCCGGACTTGCCTGCTCCCGGGACCTTCGTCCCGAGATTAGTGATTAAACGCATAGGATGAAACCCGCAGGGTTGCAAAGGAAAGCAGTTATCCCGAAATCCAGCGGCAGGTCCGAGTAGTGGTGTAGGGATGGGTGAGATGTGTGCAGCCCTGGTGACACCGTTGGGAAACGTCCGTGATTTCTGTTGGTGAAAACCAGGGGTCCTGCCAAAAGGGGCCCTGTGGTTTGTTGGCGACAGGATGGAAAGGAAGGCCAGTTTTCAGTAAGACGGCGACCAAGAGGGTATTTATTCTTTCCCGCGCAGGTTCACAGGTCTGCTGACCTGTGAAGGACATTTACTGGGCTCAGTGTATGCAAAGCCCTACGTTTTCAGGCGGGGAAACAGGCTCGGAGAGGGGCAGCTCCAGCAGGAGTCGGGCTGGGCAGTCAGCCCGCCTTCCGTGCTGGTGCCAGTAGGTTTGTTTACTCAACACACACCTCCCAAGGCCGAGGCTGTGGGGAACCTGGAGGCGCTCGCAGTGCCGAGGAGGCAGGCACCACAGCAGCAGGCACAGGTGGTGATCGGACCCGGTGCCAGGATCGAGGGGGCCTCGGGGGGCGGGTGCTGCTGTGAAACCGGCCCCTGAGGCGCTGGCCTGTGCACATGTGGGGCGCAGGGTGCTCCCCGCGGCCGGCATAGCCCGCGGCCGCACCGAGGCAGGGAAGGGGGCCTGGTGAGGAGCCTGGCTTGGCTTCCAGGGGCCGTGGGTTTAAGCAGGGGATTGGCACTACCCGGTTCATATTCTGAAAGACCCCTCTTCACCAAACGTTGGTTAAAGTAGAATTTAGAGAGACCGAGGGTCGAGGGGAGGCCACCAGGCAGGAGGCCTGAGGGGCAAAGACCTGGCGGGCCCAGGCCCCGGGGCGTGTGGCCTCTGGTGCTGTCCAAACTCACGCCTGCGCCCTGTGGTTCTTTCTGCAGCTCCCGGCCTGCTCCGCCCAGTCCTTGCGCTGCGGTGAGTGCCTGCGTCTGCGTCTCTGGCCCTGGCCTCCATGCAGAGGCCCTGGAAGGGAAGGGGGGTGGGACCAGAGTACCCCTGAGCTGGGAAGGGTGAGCAGCTCCGGTCGGGTCCTGCCTGCCGACGGTCACACGCGAGCGAGTTGGGGCAGCCCTGGGACTGGCAGCTGCCCTCCAGCAGGTGGTGGGCCGGCCCCTCTGTCCATGTTGTGGCAGAGCCTGGGTCCAGACCCTTGTCCACCTGCCCTACTGCCCTCAGGACTCACTTGCTGCCAAAAGTAATCAGTGTGTTTGCTCAGGTGACAGCCCCACGCAGGCGCCTTCAGGACAGGAAGGCTGGTAGCACGGGGGCCTCGTTAAGGGCAGAGCCTGGAAATCAAACCCCCAGGTCCACAGGATCCGGGACATGACAGATCCAAGGAGAGGGTTTTCCTAGGGGAGAGAAGTCGGGGGCTTTGTGGTGGGCACAGATTTGGGCTGAGTGTGGTTTGGTTTGATAAAGTCTTTTCCCTAAGGATAAACCACATATTCACCATAAAATGAAGGGAAAAGGGGAAAATGAAAACCAGGCACTTTGTCTCTGGAGGGCCAGATGGTTAATGTCTTTGGCTGTGCAAGCCAGGTGGTCTCTGCTGAGACTGATAGCTGTGATTTGTGAAAACAGCTGCAGACCACACAGAGACAGATGAGTGTGGCTGTGTCAGTAAAACTTTATTTACAAAAACAGGTGGCCCTGGCCAGTTTGGGTCAGTGGATAGCACGTTGGCCTGGGGACCGAAGGGTTCTGGATTCGATTCTGGACAAAGAATCGAATCCTTGGTCGCAGGCTCGATCCCCGGCCCTGGTCGGGGCGCATCCAGGAGGCAGTCAATTGATGCTGTCACATCGATGTTTCTCTATGTCTCACCCTCTTTCTTCCACTCTCTCTAAAATTCAGTGGGAAGATATCCTCGGGTGAGAACTAACAAACATAGGTGGAGGGCTGAATTTGGCCACTAGCCCCACCCCTGCTACGGTGCAGCCCCTGTAACAGCATCTCAGGTGCCCCAGGCTCCTCTTCATGTGTGCTCTCTCTCTGCAGCTCCTGCGTGGGTGCGGCTGTTCAGGGACGATGTGTCCATGCCAGTTTGGCTGCTGACAGCCCAAGCAGGTGAGGCCAGCCTTCCCAGTGGCCCGGACACCCTGAAGCACCCACCCCCTCCAGCACAGTGTACCCGCGGTTACTCCAGGGCCCCCCACAGCCAGCAGAGCTCTGAGGTCCCTGCCCTTGGAGCTCTGTCCAGACCAGTGGCTGCACATCCCCAATCCAGAAGGGCCTTTGCTTAAGAGTGGGTCAGTTGGCCCCTGTTTTCCACATGAGGACACTGAGTCCCTGAGAAAACAGAGGCCTCTTGGGGCCACAGCCAGGCAGGCTGAGGCACATCCATGCCATCTTTAATTCCTTTGTTTAGCAGACCCAGACCTGGGTACTGAGATGCTGCAGCCCCAGGGTAATCCCTGGCCCCGTGGCTCCTCCCATTACTGCCCTCAGGACCAGCTGTGACCATAGCTTTGACCTGTGCTCTGCGAGTTGCTCTGTGTTAGGTTACAGGGTAGAGGCTGTGGGGGTAGCCAGCATTCCTTTCTTGGGACTCCTGCCTGGCTAATACCTCCCTGTGCCATGTCCCATGCCCAGCACTCAGCCTGCCATGTCCAAGGCCGGAGCCGTGGTCTCCAAGCCCAGCTCACTTCCCAGCAGCCGGGGCGAGTATGTGGTGGCCAAGCTGGATGACCTGGTCAACTGGGCCCGCCGGGTGAGCCCCCAACCCTCCTCCGTCTCTCCAACCTCTGCTCTTTGCTTGCACACTGCACACGGACAGCACGCACGCTCACTGCCCCTTTGGTTCAGGGAGCCCAAGAGGCTGGTGATTATGTCAGGATTCATCCTCTGCACCTCCTGCCCCGCCAGCTCCTGGCTCTGACATCCCCTCAGTGTCTCTGTCCCATCCCCTTGTCTCTCCCCCAACCCTTGGTGAGGACTGCCACTTCCCTTCTATAGTTGTCTTCTGTTCGTGCCTCTTTTTTCTCTTAATGTAAAAGTAATCTTTTTAGCTAGAGAAGTAATGTGTGCTGAAAACAGTAACTCCTTCCTGGCAAAAATTTAAAAAGCCTGCCCTGCCCCTAGCATCAGCCACGAAACAGTTTTTGTCTTGTATCCATCCCTTAGGTCGTGTCCATGGCATGTCTCCCATTGGACATATGTCCTGTCTCCCAAGACAGAGGCTCCTTTCAGTGCCCACGGGGTGCTGGGCTGGCTAGGCCACCTGAACAATCTCTCATGGACGGCTCTGCACTCGCACAGTCTTTTGTGTGTCTGTGTGTCTCACACAGCACCACAGCAAACATCCTACTAGAGCAGTGATGGCGAACCTATGACACGCATGTCAGAGGTGACACGCGAACTCATTTTTTTGGTTGATTTTTCTTTGTTAAATGGCATTTAAATATATAAAATAAATATCAAAAATATAAATCTTTGTTTTACTATGGTTGCAAATATCAAAAAATTTCTATATGTGACACGGCACCAGAGTTAAGTTAGGGTTTTTCAAAATGCTGACACGCCGAGCTCAAAAGGTTCACCATCACTGGCCTAGAGCCTCCAGCTCCATGACAGAAATGTCCACTGCAGCCTTGTTTATGACCGAACACCCAGAAATGAGGTCAGGGTCAGGCAGCTCAGGTGCTTGGTCAGTCAGGTGGCCTAGCCATGTTGGGCAACACTTGGACTGTCCCCTGCACTCGCACATCAGTAGGGCAGTGGGGGGCCACTTCGTAGTCCCAGATTCGATGCAGAGCAGCAGAGAAAGGTCTAGCCAAGGAGCACGGCTGTGGGGAAATCAGACACCAAACAGATGAGGAGTCAGACGGTGCTCAAGGCCAACCAGGAGGACTTCCTGGAGGAATCGGCATTTGGAGATCTTAGACACCAGGGGTGTCCAGAACAAGATCCTCAGAGTTAGGCCTATGCCACATGTGGCTGCCAGGCACTCAGAGCAGCAAGTGCCCACATTGGAAGGATGGGGTTTAGGATGTACTAGGTTACATCAGTGGTATTAAAACTAATTTTACCTTTTAAAAAAATTTATTTGTTTTTTAAAGATTTTATTGACTTCAAAGAGGAAGGGAAAGGGGGAGAGAGAAACATCAATGATGAGAGAGAATTGTTGATCAGCTGCCTCCTGCATGCCCCCTACTGGGGATTGAGACCACAACCCAGGTACATGCCCTTGACCAGAATTGAACCTGGGACCATTCAGTACGCAGGACGACGCTCTATCCACTGAGCCAAACTGGCTGGGGCTGTTTTTTATTTTTTTTAGAGGGAGGAAGGGAGAAGGAGAGAGAAAGAGAAACATCGATGCAAGAGCTGAACATCTATCAGCTGCCTCCTGCATGTCCCCTACTGGGGATCAAGCCTGCAACTCAGGCATGAACTGGCAACCTTTCCTTGCTCGGGATGATGCCCAAGGAGCTGCCCACACTGGCTAGGACAACTTTTTTTTGTAACGTGGCTATTGGCAAGTGCTGACCCACAGGCCTAGCTCCCTTTACCTTCTTATCAGGCAGCCCTGGGCTGGGGCAGGCAGCAAGCTCAGGCTAGGACTGAGGGGCCTGGAGGACACGTGGTTGCTGTGTGGGGAAGGGGGTGGGGAATAGCTGATGTGTCGTTTTTCAAGAAAGGCTAGAAATCTGTTTTTCTCTGTGAAATTGCCCAGTTTCTTTAAACATGATGGGCCAACTGTCCACTCACGGGTTAACCACCCTGGCCCCCTCAGAGTTCCCTGTGGCCTATGACCTTTGGCCTGGCCTGCTGTGCAGTGGAGATGATGCATATGGCAGCACCCCGCTACGACATGGACCGCTTTGGCGTGGTCTTCCGAGCCAGCCCACGCCAGTCAGACGTCATGATTGTGGCCGGGACACTCACCAACAAGATGGCCCCTGCACTCCGCAAGGTAGGCCTGGCCCAGACCCCACCCCTCCACCGCCCAGGATTGAGCTGCACATAGACCCTGTCGTCTCTTCCAGGTCTATGACCAGATGCCAGAGCCTCGCTATGTTGTGTCCATGGGGAGGTGAGTTCCAGTGGGGCCGGGGGCCATAATCTGGCTCCAGGGACGAGACATACCTGTGACACACGGTTGTGTTTCCCCCCAGTGTTTTATCTGGGCTTCTGTCTGATCAAGGTCATGGAGGTATAATTTATACTCAGTAAAATCCCACACCTGCAGGGAGCCGAACAGTGACTCTGACACTCTGCTGTGTAGACTACCCCCTCCCCAGAATGTCCCTTCCTGTGGGTTATTATTGCTCTCCACCCCCACAGCCCCTCTGATTTGTCTGTTTCTTTTGAATACATAAATGATATCACCCTCTTAGACTGTACATTCTCCTTGCCTTTTTAACTTGTAGTCACTCTCTCCATTGTTAAAACCTGTTTCATCACTTACTTTTTTTGTTGAGATAGAATTCACATAACAGAAAGTTCACTCTTTTAAAGTGTGCGGTTCAGTGGGCTTTAATGCAGTCACAATGTGTAAAACTACCCAACTGTCTAGTTCCAGATGATTCCATTATCCCACAGTAAGCCCTGTCCCCCCCTCAGCACTCACCTCCCACCCTCTTTCCCAGCCCCTGGCAGCCACACCCGTTTCCTGTCCTGTGCCTGTTCTGGGCATTTCATATAAAGGTATCGCACACTGTGGCCTTTTGAGCCTGGCTCCTCACTGAGCCTCATGTTTTCAAGGTCCGTCCATTCATTCCTGCTCTGCCTGGTCTCGGGTGACTGTTGTCTTTCCTGTGACTTCATATCCCTTCTTGTCATTTTTGGCAGGCTAGGCACCTGCCTGCAGTTGAAGGCGGGTGTGGGTTAGGGAAAGGGCCCTGAGGAGGGAGCAAGGCCAGGATGGCCAGCGAGGCCCTCACACCACTCTTCCCACTCCAGCTGCGCCAACGGAGGAGGTTACTACCACTACTCGTACTCCGTCGTGAGGGGCTGTGACCGCATCGTGCCTGTGGACATCTACGTCCCAGGTAAGTCCACTGCCTTGACTCTGGGCAGCCAGGCCTTCAAGTCCCCACAAAGGAGTCCCAATACCCTATAGACATGGTGGGCTCTCCCTGTTTTAAGAATGAGCAGATTTGGCCTGGCTGACGTGGCTCAGTGGTTGAGCATTGACCTATGAACCAGGAGGTCACAGTTCGATTCCAGGTCAGGGCATGTAGGAGGCAGCCAATCAATGATTCTCTCTCATTGATGTTTCTATCTCTCTCTCCTCCTTACCTCTCTGAAATAAAAAAATATATGTTTTTGAAGAACAAAAAAGAGCAGATTTGGGTCTAAGAAGAGTGACACCCCATTCTCTCCTTTTTGTCGTTTCTTCATGGGCTCCCCAGTTTCATCCAGATGTTGGACCAGGCCAACATCAAAAGGGTCAGGGTGAGCTGTACAAAATTGCTGATATTTGGCCATTTTTAAGCTGCAGTTTTATATGATTCCACCTAATAGAAACCAAACCCAATAAATGCAATTAAAAAACAGAAAAAAGTTCCTGGAGGACATGAATAGCGTCTGCGAGGTCTCATACTCATGATGGGTGGTGAGACCCCACCCTGCTTAGACCCAGGATCATCAGGGTGTCCAAGTTCAGCAAATAAAAATGCAGGGATCCAGTTAAATTTGAATGTCAGAGAAACAATAATATCTTTTTCATTATAAAAATATCCCATGATATTTGGGATATAGTTATACTAAAACAAAGTATCAGTGGTTTGTCTGAAGTTTACATGTAACTGGGTGTCTATTGTATCAAACTATCCTGCAGAACTCCCTCCTCACCATGCCAATCAGCAGGGGGTGGCCTCCTGGGCATGTGCTGGCACCTCCCAGAGGCAGAGAAACAGGTTTCCACATTGGATTAGAGCTCATTGGAAAATGGCATTGATTTGTTTAACATTCTGCAAATATTTATTTTTAATCTTGAACATCAGATTCTTTTCTTTTTATTTAAATACTAGTAGCCCTGCGCACAAATCTGCGCCAGTAGCTTGCTGCCGCCCTCCAGTAGCTCTCCACCCGCTGCCCCACCCTCCTGTAGCTCCCCCTCCCCCCGCCCCCTCTCATAGCTTGCTGCCCTGCCCCCTCCTATAGCTCTCCGCTGCCTCGCTGCCCCACCCTCCTGCTGGCTGTGATCCAGTCTTTAAGCAGTTGGTTACTCTTCACAGGGTAACAGCCATTTGCATATTTCATCTTTATTATATAGGATATTTTTGTTGATTTCAGAGAGGAAGGGAGAAGGAGAGAGAGAGAGAAACATCAATGATGAGAAAGAATCATTGATTGGCTGCCTCTAGCACGCTCCACACTGGGGATTGAGCCCGCAACTGGGGCATGTGCCCTGACTGGGAATCGAACCACGATCTCCTGGTTCACAGGTCGATGCTCAATCACTGAGCCAGACCAGCTGGGCTGCAAATATTGAGGGCATTTTCTAGGCCTGGGCCTGGCTTGGGCAGCACTGGGCCCTAGAAAGGTCCCATCACCAGACCAGGCCCTGGGGAACCCCCAGGTTGGGGGGGATGGAGCCTGACACAGACATGCCCCACCCCACCTATTGTGTAAGACTTTGAAAGATGCATAGAAGTCTATCCTGCAGGCTTGTTAACCTTCACCAGGAGCCAGACCCTTGGTCAGTCACTGCTTGTTTGACCCATGACCTCAGGCAAATCTCTCCAAGCCTCAGTTTCCCCATCTATCAAATGGCCATTGTGATCCTACTGTCAGGCACTGAGCACCCCAGAGTCAGCTGGAAGTAAATGACTGACAGTTCTTCATCCAGCCTCCCGAGGTGGCGGGCCTGTCAGGTCCTGGCATGTCCTCCAGGTGGCAAAGTGTCTCTCTGCTTCTTCCACCTGAGACACTCGGGATGGAGACTGTGAGGACTATTTCTCTGGGAGTTTCCTTCTCAGTCTGTGAGCCGCCCCGCCCTGCCCACCTTGCTGGCTACTTCCAGTGATGGGCCAAGCTATCCACCTCCTTTGTGCATTCTTTGGATGCTGGGGTGAGGGTTCTCAGCCCTCCCCACCATGGGAAGGCGTCAGCCAGCCCTTAGCCCACCTGCAGCTCCCAGGTCACTCTTCCTAGGGCCTTGGGTAGCCCAGGCCTTTCTGCTCCATGTGGCCGGTAGTTGCTGCCCCCAGCCGGACCCTTTGACTTTCCTTCCGTTTCATGTGCCCTTTGCCAGGCAGCAGGGAGAGGGGTGGTGCCCCAGTAGGGCCCAGATCCAGTCACTGGTCAAGGGCTCCTGGCAGAGCCAGAGCTGTGGGCCCCCTCCCCATGGGCAGACACTGAGGCAAGGTCCCGCCCCCAGGCTGCCCACCTACCGCCGAGGCCCTACTCTATGGCATCCTGCAGCTGCAGAAGAAAATCAAGCGAGAGAAGAGACTCAAGATCTGGTACCGAAGGTAGTGCCACCCGACTGCCACCCTGTATCCTCTTCGTCATCCTGAGAGATGGTCAATAAACCTGAGAAACCCACTGGCATGGAAGCCTGCCCTCAGTGTGTGTGGGCAGGGGGTCCTGGAAAGTAGAGAGGTGCCCACAGGGCAGAGAGTACCCCTTGTGCTGGGTGTAGGTGGGCGAGTGCTTCCTTGGTCAGGGTCAGTCCTTAGAGATGCTGAGGCCCTGGAGGCAGGTGGCTCGGTCCACATCAGCCCCTCTTAGGGGCCCTACACCTCATCTCCTAAGACCCCACCGTGGGGAAGGAGAACCCAGAGCATCCCCTGGAGCCAGGTGGGGGCTGGGCTGCCTCTGCACTGACTGAAGGGGATGTTGAGTCAGAGGAAACGAGACAGTGGGAGAGTGTCAGGCCTCAGCAAATGACACTGCACTTCACGAGTGGCTGAGGGTCCTGAGTCCAGATGTAAAAATGTTGCTTTATTTTGAAGTTCAGCCTGACTTGGTGGGACCAGAAAATCCTCCTCAGTAGCCTGAGGACCTGGGCCTAGAGCTGCTACCCTCCTTGCAGTCCTGACCTAGTTCTGCACCCCCCCTGGACCCCAGGTGCCAAGCACAGGGAAGGGAGGGGCAACCGCCCTGGATGTCTGAGGGACTAGACCATAGGTGATTGATTGATTGGTGATGTCTCCTTTGGGCAGGATTGGGTTCACTGACTTGTACACAATGGAGCATATAGCTCACGGATCAGCAGATGCTCCTCATGTAGCTTGCCCACTGAAAGTCCAATAACAGATTGCTTTTTTAAAAATATGTTTTTATTGATTTTAGAGAGAGGGGGAGATAGAAATAGAAACATTGATGAGAAACACCCCTCCGCTGGCTTGCACACCCCCTACTGGGGTTTGAGCCCACAACCCAGGCATGTGTCCTAACCAGAAATCTTGGTGCATGGGACACTCCAATTGATTGACACAAGCCGTGCAACAGATTTTTCTTTTTGGAGGAGTGAGAGCACACTTTTGCAATGTGTGCTGATTGGCCAGCCTAGTGTTAGCATTTATTTCATCCCTGTGACCCCAGAAGAAGGCTGATACTGGTACTCTTGCAGAGGTTAGGGAAGGTAGCTGGGGTCTTACAGCTGGTGCTGCTTCAACTAGAAGCTGGGCTGAAGCCAGAGCCTGAGCTCCTGGCCACGAAGGCACTCAGAGGGTGGTGCGCCAGACCTAGTGCTTGGTGACCAGGGGTGTGATCATCTGTGGGAAGGCATAGTAGCGGCAGTCAGCAGGCGGGACCAGCTCCATCACCTGTGTGTGGATGTTCTCCCGGCGGAAGCCCGACTCCAGCAGCGCCGGTACTTGTGTCTCCTGAGACAGGGAAGCGCCAGGTTATGTCCAGGCTCTGAGGACTCACACACGCACACCCGGTGCCTACCCTTCCTTGCACAGCATTGTTAGTGCCAAGGCCCCAGGGCTGCAGGAACCTCTACCCCAGGCCCAAATGCTGAGACAACGTGGGAGCCCACGTCTGAGTGGCAGTCTCCAGGTGTCTAAACTCGGGCAGCAGCTTCCTGGCTGTCACAGGCCGTCACCAGGCTGCCCAACTGCTCCTCCTGGCAGGCAGAGGAAGAGTTTGGTCAAAGGCCCTGCACAACAGGGGCATCCTGGGTAGAGGAAAGCCTAGTGAGGAGTATGGGGCCTGTCAGCCAGGGGGAGAGCTTGGGTTGAGTCCTATGTCCCAAGGGCACTGGGGAGTACCTTGCCTGATTGCCACACAGAGCACACAATCCACCTAAGAGCAGTCCGGAAGCAAGGGACCTTCCCAGTCCAAGGTGACTGCAGCTGCCTCCCCAACCTGCCCGGGGTGAGTGGGGGAAGGGAGGCCCGGGGAGCTAGGCTGCTGCACCTCAAACATGGTACTGATGTTGGAGTACTTGGACTTCATCAGTTCCCCCCAGGAGGTGAGGTTGCAGTAGGTGAGGATGCCCCCAGGCTTCAGCAGGCGAAAAGCATGGCCCTGAGAGGGGGACAGAGGTGGGGAGGAAGATCAGAGAACCAAGTGGAAGGAGGGGTGCCCTGTGTGGGTGGCAGATGCCCCCACCCAGCTGAACTCCCATGCTGGTGGCTGCAGACCCTATCCCTCCGTGGGGTCCTACCCTGATGAAATTGAACTGGTGCGTGTGCCAGGTTTCCTCAGACAGTGGATACGTGTCGTACAGGATCCCTGCGTGGGAGGATGGAAGTCACATGGTCAGGGCCAGGGGCAGCCACACCAGGACAATGGCTCCACGCGAAGGTGGAACTTGAACATGGCCCAGGAACCCCAGCAGCCATACTCCAAGTTCACTATGCTGCCACCACCTCTAGGTATCATGTGCAATTCAGCGATTCCTTCAGGCATCCTGCTGAGTGTCAGGTCTGTGTGTCTGTGCCCCCTTCCCAGACTCCGTTGGCCCAGTGACATGTCAGCCCCTGTGTTCTTTACAAGGTCCCTCAGCAAGTGAGGAGGAGATTCAGGCAGAGGCTCCCCCTCACCCAGTACCGAGAGTCCCCTCACCATCAAAGTGACCATCTGGTAGGGTGGGTGCCACCTCTTCCCACAGGCCTTTCAGGGGAACCACCTTGAGGTAGGGGAGAAAAAGAAGGCTGAGGGTCAGAGGGATCCCCGGGACTTCTCCGCTGTAAGAAGGAGGGCAGAGGAACTCCCACGGAGGACACTTCCCCCATCCCATGCCCGAGACTGCCCCAGGAGTGGGAGGGGGCCTGCAGGCAGAGGTAGCACCTTACCTTGTGTGGCTGCCGCTGGGCCCAGTCCTGGAGCCGCTGGAAGACACCATCGTTGCACTCAATGATCCAGTGCTCGTCGATGGCAGCTTCCTGCACCTTGGTTGCTGCGATGGCCATGCCAAAGCCCACCTCCAGGACCCGGCCCCCTGGACACAGAAAAGGCGGGGGCTGGGGAGACTATCTAGACGAGGAGGCTCAGGGGCAGCGCCTCGGCACAGAGAAACTAGGACAGGAGGGCACAGCAGACATAGGGACACAGTGGCCCTGAGAGGGAACAGTGTGGGCCCTGGCCGGCGGCCAAAAAGGGATGACCTGCCAGGGAGGCAGCAGAGCAGCTTTTGGGTCGGGTATTTGCGGGGGGGAGGGGTCAAAACTTGGACTTTGAGCCTGATTCTGGCTGTGTGCACCAGTGGCACTGATGGCATGCCACTGGTGCAGCTTATCTTTTGGTTACTTTTCTCTCCCCCTCCCACGTCCCCACAATGAAGTTCACAAGAGAAGGGCAAGGGAGGACGAGGATCCCAGGCCAGGGCCTGGAACAATTGGGGTAGGGGTGGGGGGTGGTACCCACTGCACTACAGCCAGAGGCCTACAGGCCAGAAGCCCAGCCCTTGGGGGACCTGAGCACTCTTAGGGCCCTGACACCGGAGGGCAGGGTCACCCCGTCACAGCTGTCTCCCAGCCTCAGCTTTCCCAGAGCTATTCTTAGCTGGGGCGGGTGGGATGTCCAGCCAGGGAGGCTCCCCACGTGTGTCTGGGCAGCGACCTTCGCCAGGCCCCCTGTTCCCGATCTCAGGGGGGATGCGGGCGGCCGGCACCTCATTTCTCCTGGAGAGGAAGTTCTCGATACTTAGGGGGCGCCTACTGGGTACATGCCCCGTGCCTGTAGCACCCCTTTTAGTTCCCCATTGTCGTCCCCCAGTAGCAGCCCCATTCTCCAGGCTAGGAAAGAGGCTCCGATGCGCATCAGCCAGAGAGCTGGCTGGCATGGGCCTGGTCACCCTCGGGCCGGACGCAGAGCTAACCTCTGGAGGCGGCGGCGGCCGCCAACGCGTGCATGTAGGGAGTCTCCCAGCGCTCCATCACTGGCTTGCCCAGGATCTGCAGGTGCATGTCCGACGCGTCGTAGGACGCGGGCGCCGCCAGCCACTCAGGCCTGCAGTTCTCTCCAGGCGCGAAGATGGGGGTCGCGGCGGGGGCGCTCATATTGCAGGCGGACGGGCAATCCTGACTGTTCCCGAGGCGAAGGGTTGGTCCCTGCAGAGCCTTCTGGGCCGGAGGGTGTGACCATGACTGGCGGGGGCGTGGCCGAGGGCGTGAGGTGTTGAGGACCCGCCTGGAACCCGTGAGCGGACTGCACTGCGCGAAGACTCCAGTGCCCTCTAGCGGCCGTAGAGCAGAAGACGGCTCCACATGGGTCGGGCCCGCTCTTCGCTGAAACTTCAGCGCCTGCTGGCGAACTAGGCACAACAGCTGAGAGCCCTCAAGGTCTGTAGCCTCGCCTTTTCACTCTCCTGCCTCAATTTCCTCATCTGTCACTGCCGCAGAAAAGCCCCCTTTCCTTGCTGGGGTGGGAGGATCTAATGATTTTCCTGGCGCTGTTGGAAGTGCTTTAGGTATTTTAAAAAAATCATTCAGCCCTAGCCGGTTTGGCTCAGTGGATACAGTGTCGGCCTGCAGACTGAAGGGTCACAGGTTGGATTCCGGTCAAGGGCATGTACCTTGGTTGCAGGCACATCCCCAGCAGGGGGTGTGCAGGAGGCAGCCGATCGGTGTTTCTAATTATCCCTCTCCTTTCCTCTCCGTAAAAAATCAATAAAATATATTTTTTAAAAATCATTCAATCTTCAGAGATGTCGCAGTGGGTTTTTATTGTCCTCATGTCACAGATGGGTAAACTGAGGCACCAAGAGGCACAGCCAGCAGTCTCATGGCCATGGATGTGGGTGGGTGAGGACTCAGGATTAGAGCCCTGATAGTCCCCACTTCGACCACATGCCCAGCTGCCTCTCCTCTTTCAGGAGCTCACTTCACATCCCCATAAGCTGGTGGTCACCCAGGATCCTGATGGGGGTGATCACCATGCAGAGGCTTGCAGTCCTGGGGACCCAAATGTGATCCCAGCAGTCTGCTGTCCCTTACACCCAGGAAGTTGGATAGGGCAGCCCTGCCGGGACATGGGGTTGAGGCCTTGTCCCAGCCCAGGACAGCCCTTGAAGTCAGCTGCATCTTCTGCCTGCCTGCCTGCCTGGGACCTACCCACAAGCACTGGCCTCCAGGCTCTGTAATGTGACTTCCCTTTTCCAATTCTTTGCACATCAGGCCATGAGCCCTAAACATTCCATTCCTGCCTTCCCACTGAAAAACTGAGGCCCAGAGACGCTGTGGTCACAGGGTTTGAACCCAGGCAGCATCTTTTTTATTTTTTAAAATATATAAACATATCTTTATTTTTATTTTAGCAAGAGAGTAAGGGGAGAGACATCAGTTTGTTGTTCCACTTTTTTTGTTTGATTGTTTTTTGTTAATCCTCACCTGAGGATAGTTTCCCATTGATTTTTAGGGAAAGTGGAAGAGAGAGCAAAAGAAAGAGAGAAATATGGATGTGAGATAAACACATCGATTAGTTGCCTCCTGCATGCTCCCCAACCAGGGCCAGGGCCAGGGAGGAGCCTGCAACCAAGGTACGGGCCCTTGACCAGAATTGAACCCAGGACCCTTTGGTCCACAGGCCGACACTCTATCCACTGAACCAAACTGGCTAGGGCTGTTCCACTTATTTATCCATCCATTGGTTGATTCTTGTATGTGCCCTGACCGGGGATCAAACCTGCAACCTTTGAGACAGTGCTCTAACTAACCAACTGAACTACCCGACCAGGGCCCAGGCAGCCTCTTAAACAGTTCTCGAGTTTGGTCACTTCCCTGCATCTCTGTGACCATCTCTCGTAGTCCTGACTGACTGAGCTTCAGTCTACTCCCCACAACCCCTGCCCACCATCTGCAAAGTGCTCCTGTGTCACTCCTGCCCCCGGACCTTTGCACATGCTCTTCCCTTGACCTGGACAGCTTCTCCTTTCTCCTGACTTGGTGTGGGCATCATGCTTGAGCCCATACCTCCTCTGGAAGGCCCCCAAGTCCCCCCAGGCTCTCTTATCTCTGAGTACTTCTCCTTGGCATTTCTCTAGCTGAAGGTATTTATTTCTTCATGGCTCTATTGTCTGTCTGATGGGCTTGGTGCATAGAAAGTGCCTGCTTGATAAATCCTGAGGGCACATTGGGATCTAATATAGTCTAGATATAACAAGTCTGATTTCACAAGAATCTCAGGAGTAGGCGGGATGAGTAGATGCCATCAGACTTCTGAGTTGGTCTCATGCTGCTTTTTGCCTCACATGAGTCCTTTTGGTCTGGTTTCCCCATCACCAGCCACCACCATGGGCACCAGGATGGACACTTTGTGGGCCTATATTCCAACATCCTTGTGCTGCCCAAAGGGCATGTCCCAGGATGCTCCCTTGTGCATCCCATGTAAATAGGTGGCACTCGTTAAATGTCACCCAACTCAAAGAATACCCTGGAATGCCTGCCTGAGACAGGAGGAGGCTGTGTTCATTAGCACTTGCTATGTAACAAATCACCCCAAATGTAGCCGCTAAAACAAGGCACATTTATGAGCTCAGTTTCTATAGTCAGGAATCCAGGTGCAGCCCAGCTCAGTCTTCTGCTTCTCAACGTCTCACAGGCTGCAGTCAAGGTGCCACTGGTGCTGAGGACTCATGTGAAGGCTCAGCCAAGGAAGGGTCCTTTCCAAGCTCACTCACTGGTTATTGGCAGCATTCAGTTCCTTTTGGGCAATGGGCCCCCAGGCCTGAGTTCTTGGTCATGTGGGCCTCCCCTGTGTAACAATGGGCTTCATCAGAGCCAGAAAGAGAGAGCCTGCTAGCAACAAGAACTGGCACCCTTTTAAAAAAATATTTTTATTGATTTCAGAGAGGAAGGGATAGGGGGAGAGAGAGATAGAAACATCAATAATGAGAGAGAATCATTGATTGGCTGCCTCCTGCACACCCCCTACTGGGGATTGAGCCTGCAACCTGGACATGTGCCCTTGACCAGAATCAAACCTGGGACCCTTCAGTCTGTGGCCATTGCTCTATTCACTGAGCCAAACCAGCTAGGGCAAGAACTGGCACCCTTTATGAATTCATAAGCAGCAAACTCTAGCAGGTGTTAGGTGAAAAGGCAGGGTGGAGGGGAAATGTAGAGAGTGCCACACTGTGTGACAGGGGTGTGTGTGTGTGTGTGTGTGTGTGTTTGTATGTGTATAGACTGGAGCATTGTCTCACATAGATTACCCTGGAAGGACACTCAAGGATCTGGTCATCATTGATAGGGCACTGTGAGGGGAGATTTTAACCCAGGTACACATTTATTGTGGTAAAACACACGTAACATAAAATTCATCATCTTGCCCTTACTGGTGTGGCTCAGTTGGTTAAGCATCATTCCATGCACCAAGCAGTCACCAGTTTGATTCCAGGTCAGGGCACATGCCCAGGTTTCTGGCTTGATCCCCAGTAGGGGGCATGCAGGAGGCAGTTGATTGATGTTTCTCTCTCTCTCTCTCTCCCTCTCCCTCTCTCTCTAAAATCAATACAAACATATTTTTTAAAAAGTTTACCATTTTTAAAAAAATATATTTTATTGATTTTTTACAGAGAGGAAGGGAGAGAGATAGAGAGTTAGAAACATCGATGAGCCCTGGCCGGCTTGGCTCAGTGGATAGAGCGTCAGCCTGCGGACTGAAGGGTCCCAGGTTCGATTCTGGCCAAGGGCACATGCCTGAATCGATGGGAGAGAAACATTGATCAGCCGCCTCCTGCACATCTCCCACTGGGGATGTGCCCGCAACCCAGGTACATGCCCTTGACCGGAATCAAACCCGGGACCCCTCAGTCCACAGGCCGACGCTCTATCCACTGAGCCAAACCGGTTTCGGCGAAAAGTTTACCATCTTTTTAAAAAATATATTTTTATTGATTTCAGAGAGGAAGGGAGAGGGAGAGAGAGAGAGAAACATCAATGATGAGAGAGAATCATCAATTGGCTACTCCACACTGGGGATCAAGCCTGCAACCTGGACATGTGCCCTTGACAGGAATCAAACCTGGGACTCTTCAGTCCACAGACTGACGCTCTATCCACTGAGCCAAACCGGCTACTCACCATCTTAACCATTGTTTTGTTTGTTTGTTTGTTTTTTAAATATTTTTTTTTATTGAATGATTTTTTACAGAGAGGAAGGGAGAGGGATAGAGAGCTAGAAACATCAATGAGAGAGAAACATCAATCAGCTGCCTCCTGCACGCCCCCCACTGGGGATGTGCCCACAACCAAGGCACATGCCCTTGACTGGAATCGAACCCGGGATCCCTCAGTCCGCAGGCCAACGCTCTATCCACTGAGCCAAACTGGTTAGGGCCTTAACCATTGTTAAGTGCATGGCTCAGTGGTATTAAGTACACTCATTGTTGTGCAACCATCAGGATCATCCATTAAACACCAAGTCCCCATCCCCTACTCCAACCCCTGGTTCCCACTATTTTCTGTCTGTATGAACTTGACTCCTCTAGGGATCTCCTATGAGTGGAACCACACAGTATTTGTCTGGCTTACATCACTGAGCATCATGTTCATCCACATTGTAGCAAGTGTCAGATTGTCCTTCCTTTTATATTTTGTATTTTTTAAAATGTGTTTTTAATAGATAGAGAGGAAGGGAGAAAGATAGATAGAAGCATCGATGAGAAACATCATTGATCAGCTGCCTCCTGCATGCCCCCTACCAGGGATCGAGCCTGCAACCTGGGCATGTGCCCTTACCGGGAATCAAACCAGCAACCTCTTGGTGCATGCATGGGTTGATGCTTAACCACTGAGCAACACCGGCTGGGCAGAATGACCTTTTTATTTTTATTTATTTATTTACTTATTTACTACTTATTATTGATTTCAGAGAGGAAAGGAGAGGGAGAGAGAGATAGAAACATCAATAATGAGAGAGAATCATTGATTGGCTGCCTCCTGCACGCCCCACCCTGGGGCTCGAGCCCGCAACCCAGGCATGTGCCCTAACCAGAATCTAACGATGACTTCTGGTTCATAGGTCGATGCTCAACCACTGAGCCACCCCGGTTGGGCTGTCCTTCCTTTTAAAGGCTGACTAATATTCCAGTGTATGGATGGACCATGTTTTGTTTGTCCGTTCATTTGTCCATGGACTCACCT